TTAATTCCCTTTGTAATTGCAAAGCAGAGTCTGCTAGAAAATGGGAATCCCTCCGGTTGGAATTTTCACAGGCAATGCCCCCATTTGACATTTTCCTTTCAGGAAAGAATAATTTTCCCCATGGGATGAATCAAAACATCAAATATACAGAAAAGCTGCTGCTTTATGGCTTTCCAAATTTGTCTTTGCAAAGTAAAACAATGGCAGAAGAAGGGGATTCCCCTCTTACACTCACTACATTACAGCCAGAAGGGAAATCAATTTGTTATCAGGTGTTCTCTCACTTGACTCACTGCTAAAAGGAGAAGTCTTCATTTCTCTTCACATCTATAAAAAACTGGGTGGGGAGGAGGGGGGTCAGCACAGCAAAACAAACCACACCCCAAAACCTCAATATTTCCTCACAAAAAAAAAAAAAAAAAAAAAAAAAAAAAAAAATTAAGAGAGTAGGCTCTGTTCAAAAATCCCCAATCCTGTGACACGTTGTTTTTCATCCTCTTGTGGTTAAAAAGAAGCCCCTATTTGCTCCAGAACCCCCTCAGTGATTAGTGCACTGACTGTGCCTGCCTAAATCTATCAATTTTCTGTCAGATTTGCACATGGATTTTTAATCTTTGGAATGTGCCTTTTCATCCCTTTGGATTCAGGGGCTGAGAGTGACCTGTTTGTGGGTCCTAAATGCAGGTGGAATAAATATTCTAAGTGTGGGCAATGACCGATGGCAGAGCTCTGTCTCTGGGGCCAGTCTGGCCCTCCTCGATGCCACAGCAGTGTTCCTGCTCTCTGCATTCCCTGCTCTCAGTTTAGGTGCCAACCCTCTCTCCTCTTCGTGAGCACACACAGACCAAAGAGCAGAATTGCAGGAAACGAAGAGAGGCAACAAGAGGTGAGAGGAAAAAATTCTCAAAGGCCACAAACCTTTGCTTCCTTTACACCTTGTACTTTTTTCCTTCTGTTGCACAAAAAGCTGCAGCTGGACAGTCTTCTCATCATTTTCCACTCACCAAAACAAGCTCTCTACCCTGACCGGACTCACACAATTCGCCATGTTGAGCTTTGTGGTGAATTTTCTGTGTCAGTTTGTAGCTCTCAAACCATATTCTGTGGCTATAAACTGACTTTTTTTGTTGCCCTGCTGTGCTGTAGATGCCAAGTTGGAGGCCATGCCAAGGCTTTGTACTTTACAATGGAAGTGTTGATGAATAGAAGCTAATTAAGGCTTTCCATCCTGCTTTTTAGGAAGGAATGGGTTTTAGTGAAGCTGAGGTACTTCTGACACTGAATAGTATCGCAAGGAAAGGTGTGATATTAACCACCAAATGTCTGGATTTGCACTTCTGGCCTGACAGCTCTCAGTGCTTGATGGCTTTAGGTAAGGCAGGGATTCCAAGGGCTGCGTGCCAGACATTGCCACTCTTTGCCGTTTTTTCTCTCTGGAGAGTCTCACTTTAAATTTAGGTCTGTTCTTATCAAGAACTTGAGATTAACATGCCTGTGTTGCTGTGTACAGCCCACTAGGAAAAGAAATACCAGATCCTTCTTACATACTTACACCACCCAAGATATTTCTGCATCTACAGCTTTGTTATTGTTACAAACTGGTTTAAACACAGAAGAGCAAAGAAAATTAAGTCTGTGAATAAAACGGATCAAACCCAGAAATGTTCCAAATGTGATGCAAATGTTCCAAATCTACTAAGGAACATTATTAAAACCAAATGAGGTTAGATGTTGGTGCCAAAAAATTGATATATTTTATTTAATAGTAAAAGAGGCAAAGAGAAAGAGAAAATAAATAAATAGAAAACGAAAAGCGTGGCCAGGGAGAGAGTGACAGGGGTTAGGCGGGAGCATAGCACCCACCCGAGGGTCCCAACCATGTCTGCCCTCCACCTGCTGCTCTGAGTGGTGAGCGTCCTCTGCCGCTGCAGAGTCTGCAGTTAGTGGATTAATAAACGTTTCGGGCAGGTGGGAACGCCCCGTGCCTCCTGAGGGGGGCCGGGTTTGCCACTGTCCCTCGCAAAGCTCCGGATCTGTCGCATCATGTGCAGGGTCTGGGGACCCTCTGGGCGGTCCGTACTCTGCTCTCCGCCGGGGATGCGGCTCTCCCCGGGCTGCAGGGCGCACAGCAGGGCTCCTGGCCCAGCGGAGCGCTCACTGCCTCTGAGCAGAGGGGCTTTTGCCCCGCACACCAAAACCTCTCCTCCTCCCGCCCTTTGGTGCGAGGCTCTGTGCGAGCGAGCCTGGCCGCTGACAGCCCCGGGGCTGCGATCCCCACCGCGCTGCAAGTGGCAGTCCCAGGCTGAGAAAGGACAAAGTGGGACGAACTCTCCTGAGCTGGATCCCTCTGTCAATGCATCCCCCGAGCTGAGCTGAGCCACTCTGTCTTATCTCGAGTAGTGAGCAGGGCCTTGGTCAGGATGTGGTGCTCTTCTCTGCAGCTTTTGTAATGCAGTTTTGCTACAATAGGCAAAAGTCCTTCCTGAAGATGTTTAAGCCATAAGTTATAACATTTCCATCTCTGACAGACATCCTTCCTGGAAGTTATCTTCCACTGAGCATCCCTGGATGTGGGTGCTGGGAAACCTTTCAGTGCAAGCTGAGAAGTAACTTGGTCCCTTTGAATTTTTTTCAAGCTACTCTTCATGTGTCTCATGGAATAGTCAGAATTGGAAGGGATCCACAAGGATCATCAAGGCCAAGTCCTGGCCTCAGGACAACCCCAAAATCACAAGTTTCGTTCCTGTGTGAAAGATTACATATGTGTGTATATATAGTAGAAAAGTAAAAATAGAATTATTTTTATGGAAATTTTAAGTGTCAACATTATTTTCGATCTAGAAATAGCTGGGTATCAGCAAGTGGTAGTCCCAGGCTGAGAAAGGACAAAGTGGGATGAACTCTCCTGAGCATAAGATGGAAGAAGGCAGATTTTAACTCCTGGCTGGCTTGCTGTGGGGCTCAGCTTTGTTTAGTGAGTGGTGTGAGTTCTTCCTGTAACACGCCTTAAAAGGGAAGTTCTCACTGAGGTAGTGGTTTAGCTCTGAGTCATGCCAGTGAAATGCTCAGGCTGTTTCTCTGACAAATGCAAATCCAAATTCCTGAAAATGGTTTCACCCCCAGACTCACTGAGCTTTGTCTTTCCTAGCTGCAAATAATGGGAAGACTCCTTTCCTGTCTCCTTACTCAAATTTATCTTTGCTAAATGGCCTGATAAGTAAAGGGACAGGAGTAGGGAGTGACACACTGAGTAGTCCAGGAAACATCTTTGTGATTACACTGTGTTTGTTACCATGGAGATCCCAGGAAATGGCAGTGTTGGTGTTTGGCTGGTGAGCACCAGGTTCTACACCTGAGCGAGGGTTTTCTGTCTTTTCCAATTCATCTTCCACCAGGGCTGGCTGACCTTTATCCGCTAAGCCATAAATATATTTGTATAGCAGTAAAAACCAGTGCTGCAAATATGTACAAGTACCAGCCTGAAGAATGCTCAGTCCCAGGAAGTCACAGATGGCTGAGTATTAAAACTCCAGAAAACATGGAATAAGAACTGCCAACCAGACAGCAAACAGCATCCCCCCCAGTACCGTGTATATTACAGTCAGTAGGGCAAAGCCATATTACTTGTTTTATTGCTATTTATCAGAATATATCTCTCAGCAGGAACTGGGGCAGAAGGAGGGAGAAGGATCACAATAACTGGGATAGTCACAGAGACTGCAGGGTGATGTGGCAGTGAATGGGCAGCAGGCAGGAGTTTGCCTTCCCTGAGCCGGCTGCACCAGTGAGGCAGAGCAGCTGGATGGAAGTGCTGCACTCAAACATGGACTGGTTTTACATTTTCCTAGCAATTGCAAACTGTCATCTGTAGGATCTTCTAGTCCAGGTTACACAAGGCCTGCTAACAGCAAATGCCAGCAGCTCTGCTCACCCTGGGTCAGATTTTATAATGATGTTTGCACTGGTAACTGAGCACACTAAAGGCTCTCACTGGAAGCTTGGGTAGTCCAGGCTGGGAGCCAGGCTCACTGTGCCCTCTAGTGCACTCTGCCTGCAGCTCCACTGTCCCTCACCAGAAGGAAACGAAGGGAAGATGAAACTCTTTTCCCCAGCAGATTTCTGCACATCCTGCACAGGGCAAAGACTAGAATTACACCAACACGGTACCAGAGCCAAGGCACAGCCCCGTGGTTGTGATCTGGTGGGAACTGACCCCCACAGGAACCCGAGTGTTGCCCAAGCAAAAATCAAAAAATGTACATCCACAAGTGAGGAAAGAAAAGCTCTGTACTCTGATTTCCTTTTGTTCTAGATAAAGCCCATACAAAAAATAAAACCAAAACCCTGTTGAATAAGAGTATTTCTCGGTGTCAGGTTACAGCTGGGGTCCTAGATCTGTATGGGGCTATGCTGCCATCTCCCATGTTCCTTTCAGTTCCCCCACTGCAGAACAGTACAGCACATTTCCAGCCCCAAGTTTCCCAGAAATAAGCCCTCTAGCAAAGCTGTTTTTTTTGGTTTTTTGGTTTGTTTTTTTTTTTTTTTTTTTTTGCCTTACATTGCTTATGGCAGAGGTTAAAGGGGTTCTGGATGGTATGGGACTTGTTCTTTCTGCACTGAGCTGTCCCTGGGACAGCAAACTAGGAAGGTGGAAGTCAGATTCTTATCACAGAATATTCTCAGTTGGAAGGGATAGACCAACAAGGATCATCAGGTCCAATTCCTAATGAATGGTCCATCCAGGAATCAAACCTGCAAAGCTGGTGTTTTTAGCACCATGTTCTAACCAACTGAGCTAATCTCAAATTGTTTTATTTAATTTTCCAAGAATTCTGAAGAAAGTATTGCTCTCTTCCTGTGGTCAGAGAACCTTTTCTGTGTAACCAGTTTTGTGAGAGCCAGAGACCTTGTTTAGAGCTGTAAATGGGTGGGGCTGATGAATAGGTAGCAGATTTTGGGAAGAGAAACCTGAAATTGTTGCCTGGCTCTGATTTCCACAGGACTCTATGTACTGGTGGGAGCAGGGGCCATCATGTCAGCAGTTGGATTTTTCGGGTGCTGTGGAGCAGCACGGGAGTCCCAGTGCTTAATTGGAACAGTGAGTAAAATGTTTCCAGGGCCTGGGCTGTGCAGGGAAACCATCCAAAGCATTCAGTGTTTGGTGTCATTAATGGAAAGATCTTTACTGTCCAACACCTGGAAGGTCTTATTTATGTTATTGGCTCATCCAGCTTCTCTGGACTCAGCAGCCACCATGCTACTGCAGAGCTGGCATACGTGCAGAGATGCCCTTGCTTGTCCCTTGTGATGTATTCCCTGGAATTACTCTCTGATTTTCCTGAAGCTCCCTCTGAGCCACATCTTTGCCATTTCCCCTTTGTTTGAATGACAAGGAATCAGCTTTGGCAGCCCTGTGCAGAGCCTCCTTAGGAGCTTTGGTTCAGGGTGGGCTGTTGAGGCCTGGGGAGGACGAGGGGCTGGCTGGCAGCCCCCATGAACAAGCTACACTCATGTGAGATTCTCTCCTTCCTCTGCAGTTCTTTGCTTGCCTGTTGGTGATATTTGCAGGTGAGGTCACTGCTGGAGTATTTGCCTTCATAGGCAAGAAAGTGGTAAGTAGCAAACCTCTGATGTAATAATGGATTAGTTAGGGATTCCAGTGCCCTTTGACCTGGGTCTTCCGTAGGAAAACTTTCCAGGAGACTTTTCCCTGCAAGACTCTCTGACATTCTTATCTGGAGACATTGACAGCTTGTGTTATCACAAGTTTGGAATAGGATGAAGTTTTTGCCTCCTCTGTTCAAGAAAAAGTGGGGGTGTGTGGGTTCAGCCTTGAAGGAAACATCAAAGGGAGTTGTATGAAAAGATGGTATTGCCTGGGAGAAGGGCAAACAAATTTCGGCACTGAATTTCCACAACTCAGAAGTTTTTAACCAAAGCACAAAATAGACCCTATGAACACTCTGACCCTCTGAATGGCCACAAACTTTCCTGGCTTTTGAGTCACCATACCTGTTTACCAGGCTTTACTTTTTGCCCTGGAAGTTGAGGACACAAGATGAAAAGTCTTGGACCGGGGGTAAGACTGATTTGCAACTCACTTAGAAAGTTTGATTTCTGCAGGCAATACAGGAAGCCCAGAAAATCTATGAAGATGTTTATGAGGACTACATGAAAAACCCAGTGGGGAAGGTCAACAGTACCATCTATCGCTACCACATGGCTGTGAGTACTCCTCCACCTTACCACCTCCCTCCACTGCTCCACTGTCACACTGCCCATTAGAATCCAAAATTCCTCCCTCTGAGGTATGGCAAAATAGAACTGAATGTACTGGAAATCCAGTCAGAGGCTCACAACCCTGAGAGTTTCCTGAGGGCTCTGCCAGAATTCTAGTTTTTGGATCTCTACATTTGAAAGTGCAGTTAGCCAGGCTTTGAAATTTCTGATGCTTCTGGTCTTTGTGTGCAGAAGAAATTACTGTTATGGCCCTCCTGGATATTGATATCCATAAATAAATATTTGCAAATGCAGAGAGAAGGAGAAATGTCTGCATCCCTCTGCATCTGTCAGAGAAAACGTGACCTGTGTCCCAGGACCTACAGTGTGGCTGAACCAAGTCAGTGAAAGACCAAAAGCACATGTGTGACATAGTTCAGGCCACCCAAAAAGTGAATGTCTGAATCAGACTTAAAACCTGTGACTTCTTTAATCCTGTTTGTGTCCATCCTGGATCTACACTGCCTCCCATGGAGATCGAGCCCAAGCTTTGTTGCTCCTTACAGCAATTCCCACGTTCTTTAGAACAAACATTTCACAACCTCAGACCCTTTTGTCCTTCTCCCATAGCTCTTATTTCTGACCCAAAGAGGAATTCCAAGCATTTTGTGGGAGATAGGCAAACAGGAAAAACAAACCCTCTGAAACTGATTTATTACTGTCTCCAAAGCCAGCACGATGTTGTGTCAGAAATAAAATTCCAACATTCTCTGCTGTAGTTTTTGTGCATTGCCCATAATTCTGTATAAGATATTTGAACTTTCTGCATTCTCCCTTTAACAACTCCTGTTTTCTTGTAAGCCAGGGATCTGCTTTTCCCAAATCCACTTGTTTGCTTTGTTATGAATACTGTAATAAAAATCCCTTCTGGAAATTGTTGTTAATACAAATGTGGCTGTTTGCTGTGGCCTCAGACAATGGAAACTAATTTTTGAGAATTTTGTCCCACACAGTTAGAACTCTACCAGAAGCAGCAGTTTAAATATAGAGAATTAGGTTATTATTTTATCTGTACAGATTCTTTTTTTTTTTTTTAGTTAGTTATTCTCTCACTTTCAGTATGAAAGTATGTCCCTAAACCAGGACAAAATAATAACTGACTTTCAGTATGAAACAGCCTGTGGTTTCCCCCTCTTTGATCCTCCATCTCTCTCTCATTCAGCTCCAGTGCTGTGGTAAAGGTAATGTGGAACAGCAAACAGGATTACCCTGTCCAGAGAACATCCAGCTGCCAAAGGCAAGTGTCCTCTGTCCTGCTTGTTCTAATCACTTCTTCGTGTCAGTTTTTTTAGTAAAATTGGAGACATTCTCTAAGTAAAAGAAAGGAAGAAGTTCTTTTTACCTTGCTAATTCCAGCATGAAATTCCTTATAGAATGGATGAGAGTGGAGGCAGAATTAAGCTGGAGGTCATATTGCCCTCAGTCATGACACCTGTTTGTGGCATTCCACGGTAGCTGAGACAATATTGCACCATCTGAAAGGAAAAGGGAGGGAACAGAACAGGACCCTAATTCCCCATGGATGGTGGATTTTGGCAAGTGCCCACCTTTGTCATGCATGGAGCCTCCTGATTAGAAACTTCATTGGTGTTAAGAAAGATATTTCTGTAATTTCTGTCTTCTCTGGAATCTGCTTGTGAGTTCAATGTCAAAATGAAGCACCAAACCTCCCGATTTATCATGGCCTGTTATATAAAGGAGTTTAAATTTAGGGAGAAAACTGAGTGTTAGAAAATTACTTGTATGTGTCAGTCTCTACAGCCAAGAGGTACAGATGCCTCCCCAGAAATGGGAAGATGCTGGGAAAATTATCCAGCAAAACCCAAGGTTTACATGCAAGAATTAGAATGGTGACTGCACTAATATTTTTGTGTTTATCCATTGCTCAGTGAGAATAGCTGATAGAATTGATTGAAATACAGATTTCCAGGCATAAAAAATATTTTAATTTTGTTTTTGACAGAACTGCCTGGTTGAAATTCAGAATGTAATTGATACTCAGCTGCGCTTAGTTGGAATTGTTGGAATTGCAATTGCTAGCATCACAGTGAGTAAATTCATGTTATCCAATCTCTCCTTGAGCCCAGTACCCTGTCCCTTACTCAAAGCTTTGTGGAAGGTATTTTGCAGCAACTGGTAAAATTCCTCAATTCTTCTTGCTTCCAGTGTGTCTTCTCTCTGGGAATTGCCCCCATCAGTGCAAGCAGAGCTTTGTGACTCTGTTTTTCAAGTTCATTTTGTGTCCTTAGACAGGGTCCAAAGTAATGGTAATCTTCTTTTGTTCTAGGCGTAGGAGAGCAGAGCACACATGAACCAAACTGAAAAGTAAAAGGCTGTAGCAGCATTTAATGTATTGCAAAACAACTGCAGTCTGATGCTTTCAGTCCTTTAGGATACATTCCTTAGTTTGCATGAGGAATAGAGAGTACCCACTAGAGCTATGACCAATAGATGTCACCCTGTCCCAAGGACACAGCAGGACTGGCAGGCTGAGGCTCACCAGGCTTTAGCACAAAGCTTTTTCCTGCACGTCTGTGCCTGACTTCTTTCAGACTCAGCCACCAGCAGCATGAGGAGACACAATATTAGTAAAGAACCACTCCCCTAGCTGCTGGGAAGAGCAGGACGTTCACAGATTTATGTGGACACTGAAAAGCAGCTGAAGGGTTTCTGCAGGTAACAGAAACCATGGTGTGCAAATTAAACATTCCGGGGGTTTGTATGAACCGTGAAGGGACTCAAAAATACAGCGAGGGTGGGACAGGGATCAATAACATCAAGGACACACCAGAACTGGGATCATCTCTCCTTGGATCCCCGCCTCAGACACTGTGAAGGTACTGAAGTGACCACAACCTCTTCAGCAGCAGAAATGCACCTGCACCTTTTCCTGTGCTTGTTTCTGCCACTTGCTGGGCTGCGAGAGCTCAGCTCTGCTCATCCTTAGGGACACATGTGGGGAGGGGACATGAACCCAGTGCTTAAACTGCCCATCTCCCACCCTTAGCAGTGCAGCCTCGGGAGGCAGCTGCTTTGGAGAACTGACCTGTGGCAAGAAAGGAGAGCCTCTGGCAACACCCACTGTTCCCTGCTTTTATCATTCCCTCTAGTGAACCAGTTCCCTGACACGAGTTGGGCTTTAGATTTACTGTAGAGTCTTGCCCTGGAACACAGGAACTATTCAGAGCTCTGCACCAGCTCTGGGGGCTCTGCAGTCACCCTCTGCTCTTACTCAAATGTCTGTCATATTCCATGTAGAAGCTTTCTGAAACTCGGAACACTCCTGTGCAATGCCAGCATACCACAAATAGTCACAGTTATTATGTGACTTAAATTGATGTAGTAACATGAATATTTGGGGCAGTTGTGCTTGGCTGAACATTTAGAACAGTGAAACCAGTGTGAGCCCATAAAATCAGTGAGACCTCCTACACTGTCTGATGTTTTGGGGTTTTTAGATGGAAGCAGTCATTACTCTGCCATAGGGGCCTTCAGATTGTCTGATATGCAAATTGTTTTATAACTGTTTTGTAAGTGGATCCCTAAATCACATCCCTTCTCTTCTAGATCTTTGGCATGATATTCAGCATGGTTCTGTGCTGTACGATCCGTAACATGAGAGAAATGATCTAAAACTGTCACTGCACAACTATGCCCCAGGAGTTCCAGACTAAGCTTACAAGAAGTGCTCTTCTACCCAATTTAATAATTGTAATGCATTTTAATCAGTGTTTTAACATACTGAGAGGAAAATATCCCATTAGGTGATCAGGTGAATTGTATTAGTTACAGTAAAACTGAAGTGAACAAAAAAAGGGGTTTAAAATGTCCTTTTTAATGAAAAAAAAGAGCAAAGGTGCATCTAAGACTAATTTGATTTAAAATGTTTGTATATGTGCAATTAAGAGTTTACACATGTATAGACTTTGTGTAAGCACATGCATGTGTTTCCCTACAAACACATCTGGATGTGAGCAGGTCTCTGGATGGGCAGTACCTGTCCAGGTAAATATCTGCAGATGGAACATGTTGTGTGTGCACATCCCCCAGGGACACAGTGCTCAGAACCCTCTCACACTGAGCCCCTGTTTGCCAAGAGGGACAAATGCCATTGTAAAAAGTAAAACCTATGATCCATTTTGTGACTTTATTTTCCAAAGCCCAAACAGAGCAGAACTAATAAAATTGTACTTTATTTTAGAAACAATTAATGACTAAGGGCCTACTCCAGGAAACTTGAAGAGTAGACCCACTCACATCACTGTCATGCAGAGACTAGGTATTTATTTTTTGTAGGACTGGACCCTTCATGCAAATGCAGAAAGCTCTGGGGGAGAAAACATGTCCAAGGAGATCCAGGCTAAAGGAAGAGGGGGAAAGAGGTGGGAAGCTGGCAAGACCAGCAGTCATTTGGGACCAACTGCAGTGCAAAGTGTGCTTAAGCTTCCCAAACTAGGCTGAGATAGACCAAAAAAACCAACTGTGAGTTCAAGGGGCCACTAAAATCCACATTCAGCAGCCCTTTTGTCCCAAAAACCTCACTGTGGCTACGAACTGGTGCAGGAGTGGAGCCTAGGTCCAGAAAAGCAGCCACTTTGTCAGATCTCTCGAGAATCTAACTGGCCTGTGGAAGCCAAACAAAGAGCGAAAGCGGTCAGAAAAAGACACACAGCACTTTAAAATCCTCAGTTTCTGCTTCTGTGACTATCACAGCTTCCACGGGGCTCTTACCTCAACCTCTCGTCCCTTCCTGGGGGCAGAAGGCAGGAAAGAAAGATGGGACATTTTTACAGAGCCATGAAGTAAGTTTTCTTACTGGCACTTTTAGATTGCTTGTCAGGTATAAAAATTACACTGTGTGCTTGAAATACCTCAGGGCTTGCGTTTACATAGTTTTTTTTCCTATATTTTAATTTTTCTATTTGTCATATTTATTCATAAGAGAATGTTCCTTTTGAACCAGCCTAGAAAGGAGAAAGGTTGTTCCAAGAAAAATACGTCATATCAAAGGCTCAGGATCTCCTTATTTTTTGCTTACACAAGATAATTCACAGTTTCAGAGAACAGCTTTTTGCTAACTACACCCCCATAGCAGCAGGTATCTGGTGATCACCAGTTCAGATTCCTGATGCAGTTGTTCCATACATGCTGGGGAGAAGTTCAGTTAAACTACACATTCCAACAGACCATTGTCTAAGAGGCCTTGGAATTTTCAAGTCATGGGGTCCTTGTTCCACTGAAACACAGTGGAACAAAATGGGATTTCAGGAAATGTGCGTATTTTAGTGCATATGTCTGTGTGGGATATACCACCCTTTATCTATTATTTATTTATCTCTTACTCCCCAGAGAAATTCAAACTCCCATCAGTTTTCTGTCACTTCAGGACTTGGGGTAGTGCTGCTGCTCCAAGTCTCTGGTTTAGTTGAACATCTTGCTGTCTTTTACATGGATTTCTCTTTTCCAATCGTCCAACCACGAGCTGTGGCACTGCACTAAGAGCTGGGCACGGCAGGCACTGCTGACTGAGCCGTGTCCAGGCTGAGCTTTAGGCTGGCAGGGACACAGGAAATCACACACCAGAAAAGAGTGAGGCTTGTGTCACTCTGTCACAGCTGATTAGCTATGGATGTTAATTAAAAACAGGGTCTGGGACCTCATTCTGCAAGAACCAGCACAGGAAACAGGGCCCTGATATGCTGCTCTCTTTAGACAGGATCAGCTGGGAGAACAGCAGTGGCAGCAAATCCATGAGGGTCTCAAGCTGAACCTTAGAAACCAGTTTAACACAGCAGCCAGCAAAGCAATTTCCTGGCTCCCAGGTGTACCTGAGACTGTCCCTACAATGGTTGTGCTCTGAAGAGATGATGGGGTAGTGCCCAGCTGGGGTGTGTTGTCCCAAGGTAGTACTGGCAGAAAGAAGAAACTCTTGTAGAGTGCCATTTTTGTCACTCAGAACAAGCCAGTTTTCCAGGAAAATCTGTAAAAATAGCACCAGAGCCAGTGGTTCAGGTTCCAAGACTGTTGTCCTACAGGGATAGAAACTGATTGCAAATAAAGCCATTTCCTTGTGTTACATTCCCCCTCATAATGACAGTATTCTATGCATTTTAAACACATCTACACACTCCTCAAATTCATAGCACCAGAATGTAATGACAGGACCAGTGTTTATCTTTTTATTTATTATGTCTTGAGTAAGTTGGAAGATGCCCACTCCTGCCTTGAGATGCACTGAATGCCAAGGCAGCTTGCAGAACCTGCTGTTGCTTCCCCAGCCCTCCACTCCCCCAGAAATACAAAACCACCCCAGTGCCTTAGGAAAATGGGAAAAAGTGGTAGGAAAAAACCTTCTATAAATTCAGACTCGACCCACCAACTTTCTGCAGAAGTGTTTTGGGTTTGTGATTTGTTTTTTTCTTCCTCTAAAGAAAGCATTACTTTTCTGAGCATTCCTGCATAAGCTCTAGGGTTGCAGTTATTTAGGTCTAGGGGATACTTGCACTGCACACCAGGAACAGGACAATACCTGTTACTGGTTTAGTTATCTAAGTTGTTGGTATAAATTAAGCTGGAAATCAACATGTTATTCATATACTAGTGCCTTTAACGGAATCCAGGGATAAAGGTCTTTTGTAGTTTCCTGCTGTTGTGAGGTGCTTAATACAATTGCAGTTTTCTCTGCATCTTAGTAACTGAAGGTATTTTTTCAGTTACTGCCACATCAGGCAGCAAAAATACTCATTTATTCTGTCCCTTGCACCTGTGTCAGAGGAAAGTGACAAAAGATCGGATCTCTCCAGGTAATACAATTTTGAAAGCACATCACACCATGTTTTCTTGTTCTCCTGTCAGTTTGTTCTACAGCATAAAGATGTAAGTCATTGATGCCCTTACTGTGTCTCTAAACATCCTTATTCACATTTCACATTGTCTAATTTTTCTAAGTTACTGATTTCAGTGGGAGCTTCCTTTGTCACAGAGAAACCTCAGCCAGTTTTGGTACCTCTCAGAAATCACACAGCAGCTGATGAAGCTCAGCCCTGTCACATCCCTATAATGAAGTCATATTTCACTTGTGTTGATACTGATAGTTTTATAACAAAATATGTTTCATGTGTCTTGAAAAGGAAATTGTCTTAAGCCCTCAAATGCTGTATGGTACAGCCTTTGCAGGCGATGGATTAACAGCATCAGATGCTGTTCATAGAAAATGTACATAAATAAAGCTTTTCAATCTTTTTCCTCTCTATTGGTGCTCCAGCCACGAGGTTCTCCAAAACACTAACCACTTCCTGGATAATGTGTATGGTACAGCATAAATTCTGATTTTGGACAGAACTGGCGTTTAGGTTCGTGCTGCCGAGCCTGTGGCAGAATTACCTCTTGCTTTGAAAGAAAACAAACTTAACTCTGTGGCTGAAATTAGCTTTCACTTCCCTATGATGTGTTCCGAAGTGGCGTTTTACCGACTTTGTGTCTCGAATTTGAAACAACTTCCTAATAAAAATAACCTGGAATAAACGACTCGGGGAGAGAACTCGATCCGCGCGGCCAGAGCCCCCCCAGGCCCTGAGGGCAGCCCGGGGCTGCCTCCGCCTCACCTGCTGCATCCAGGACAGCGGGTGGGCTGCTGGTGACGGAGCAGCTCTGGGGCAGCGAGGCAGGCCGGGCCCCGCACTGGGGACCGGGATTGAGATCGGGATTAGGATCAGGATCAGAAGCACGATCACGACCAGCACCCACCGGGATCCAAAGGCGGCACCGCCGGAATTCCCCTCAGGGACCCGCCTGAAGCCCCGCCCACTGTGGGCGGAGCAGCGGACGATGCTCGCTTCCCATTGGCTGCTCTCTCTGCGGGTGGGCGGGGCCACAATCCCAGACTGGTTTGGGCGGGAAGGGACCTTGAGGCTCTTCCCACTGTCCCAGGCTGCTCCAAGCCGTGTCCAACCTGGCCTTGGACATTTCCAGAGATCCAGCGGCAGCCACAGCTTCTCCGGACACCCTGTACCAGGGCCTCAGCACCCTCACAGGGAACAATTCCTTCCTAATAGCCAGTCTGAACCTGCTGTCTGTGTGAAGCCATTCCCCCTTGTAGTCTTACTTCTGGTACAGAAGGCCACAATAAGGTCACCCCAAAGTTTCTCTCCTCCAGGCTGGACAATTCCAATTTCCCAGCCTTTCCTCCCAGCAGAGCTGCTCCATCCCTTATCATCCTGGTACGCCCTCTGGACTGGCTCCACTCCTTCCCGTGCGGAAGGCGGCTCGGCAGGTGGGGTCTCACCTGGGCAGGGCAGAGGGGCAGAATTCCCCGCTCCAAGGGACTCACCTGCGGCGCTGTCCCGCGGGGGAACGGGCCGGGCCGGGCCGGGCGGGGCCGCCCCTCCGAGCCCTCGCCACAGCGCCCCCCGGCGGCCGGGGGTGTCACCGCAGCCTCCGCGGGTGCGGAGCCCGGGCCGCTCCTTGCGCCACGGGGAGCGGGGTAGCGCGGCTCCTGCTCCTGCTCCTGCTTCTCCTTTTCCTGCTCCTGCCTCTGCCTCTGCTTCTCCTGCCGCTCCTGCCTCTGCTTCTCCTTCTCCTGCCTCTGTTTCTCCTGCTTCTCCTGCCGCTCCTGCCTCTGCTTCTCCTGCTCCTGCCTCTGCTTCTCCTGCCTCTGTTTCTCCTGCTTCTCCTTCTCCTGCTCCTGCCTCTCCTGCCCCTGCTTCTCCTTCTTCTTCTGCTCCTGCCTCTGCCTCTGCTTTTCCTGCTCCTGCTTCTGCCTCTGCTTTTCCTGCTTCTTCTGCCTCTGCTGCTCCTGCCTCTGCTTCTCCTTCTCCTGCCTCTGTTTCTCCTGCCGCTCCTGCCTCTGCTTCTCCTTCTCCTGCCTCTTCTGCTCCTGCCTCTGCTTCTCCTACTCTTGCTTCTCCTTCTTCTCCTGCTCCTGCCTCTGCCTCTGCTTTTCCTGCCTCTCCTGCCGCTCCTGCCTCTGCTTCTCTTTCTTCTGCCTCTGTTTCTCCTGCCTCTCCTGCCGCTCCTGCCTCTGCTTCTCCTTCTCCTGCTTCTCCTGCCGCTCCTGCTCCTGCCTCTGCTTCTCCTGCTCCTGCTTCTCCTTCTTCTCCTGCTCTTGCCTCTCCTGCTTCTTCTGCTTCTGCCTCTCCTTCTCCTGCCCCTGCCTCTCCTGCCCCTCCAGTTCCTTGCTCCAGCTGTGAACGGGTCCGTGTTTGTGCCTCTCCGAGCCGCTGCCGCGGGCGGGCAGTGCCGGGGCAGACGCGGCTCCATCCGCGGCCCCCCCAGCCCGTTCTGTGCCCTCCCCACCCGCACCCAGGTACGCACACCAGGCCCGGGTGTTTGGATTTACTGCGAATCCATCGCTGAGTGGTGTGGAAAGCACCTTGGGATGAATGGAAGGTAGCAAACACATGTCTCGAAGGAATCGTCACCTGAACAGGGATTTATCAATGAGCCTGTGGTCTTAAACTCGAACATGAAAACTGCTTAACACAGTCCTCGGAGGGCATGGAAACGTGTGGTTAAACAGATACGTTAAAACAACGCAAACGTCTCAGTTTGGGTTTTTCTGAAGTGTAAAGAAGGCACGTTAGTTATTTTTCTCTCAATGATTTTCCATAGCCATTAACCATAAAAGTAGACTTGGTTTTTGTTTATACAGAAGACAAATCTGTCAGGCCATAAAGGACATTACAATAACTTAGCATTGCTGCTGATACTGTAAATAGGCCAAGTACCCTCTTTTTGTTTTGCTAAGTACAAGTGCCTATTAATAGTAAACAGAATTATATTTTTCTGTGCTAAATAACATTTTTACCAGTCCAGGCATCTTGAGAAAGCTCTAGCTGATCTTAAATCTGAATAAATCTTAAATCTTTCTTTGGCATTTACCAGATACCATAAGGGCTGTTTTGTTCAATAAATACCTATTTTCCAAGTTTTTTCTACCACTCCTGTGCTCTTCATCAACTAGGGAGCAGCAGTTCATGTTGCAGCTCTTTCTTGGAGAGCTTGGGAGACCATAGCTCGTCTGTCTGATACACAGAAGGGGCTGCAAATACCACATTCTCACCACCAGAAAGTATTTGTAACTTAATTGTAACTAACCTCTTCTGCTCCAAAGAGTTTTAGAAATAGTCTTGTACAAAATTAGCTATACTTGGTTGTTTAAACCATAGGTATAAGGGATCTGTTTTACAAAAGTAGGGCTGCTTCTGCAGATGCTCTGGATTTTCTGTAAATTTCAAACTTCTTTTTGGAGAATTTAAAACCTCGAACCTTGCCTGTGAAGGTGTTTCTTTGTCACCAAATAATGCATGTGATAATTGCAGTTCATACCTTGCGTAGAATCTGTGACACATATTCAAATTGCCATGTGTTGGTTGAGGTTGGAAGGGACCTCTGGAGCTCATCCAGTCCAAACTCCTGCTACAGGGGGGCACCAGCAGTTTCCCTTGGGCTTTCTCACAGGTTTTGCTGCAGATTAAATAAATTAGGGTTTTTGGAACAGAGGGTCAGATTCTAGGAGCAGTTGTGAAAACTGCAATCCCGAAAGCAGGGTTTTTCTAAGAATGTTTAATTTCATATTTGTATCCTGTGAATTCTGGTTCCTTTATTTACTATTTCAAGCAATGTATGAATGGAGTATCTGTAATTTCTTGGGAGCTACAACCTCAGTGGAAATGAAGTAGTTGTTAGTTTACATTAATTACAGGCATTACTTTTCTTTATTCCTGGCTCTGCACTCTCACCTGTGCATGTTCAGCACACAGCTCAGCTCTCCTTCCACTCCCAGGGGTGTTTTTCACCTGTGGGGAAAAATGGGATGTTTTGAGTTTTGCTTTCCATTTGATGGCAGCACACTCCCCTTGTGGAGAACAGAGCAGCCAGCTTTGAGGCTGCAGTGATTCCTCAGTGGTCACAGAGACAGGTGTATTTTAAACTGTGTTTCAGCAGGGAAAGGGGGGTTCTGCCATTCTTGTAGAGACATTAATGTAGAGAAGCATAATAAACACAGATCTGGACAACAGCAGGGAGGACATAGATCTACAGTGTTTAAACTAATGATACATAGATGGGAAAATACTGCTGCTAATTTGAAGGCTGTAAGTATGTGTCAAAATCTATTTTAAAAGTTCAATACCAATAGTGTGTATGGCCTCTTTTTTGAACTCTGAAATATATCAAGTGAAATAGGTGAACTCTGAAATAAATCAGTATCAAATTCTGAAATATGTCAATATAACAAATCTCTGAGCATCTCTTCAGAAAATATCTGGGATTTGTGAGCAAAGGCTGATACATCCACACAGTTCTGTCTCCTTCTCCAAAGTAAATTCATGTGGGTTGTCAATACAAACATACAAACTTTATGAATAATTTCTGCCTGTCTCAGAGCACCAAATTAATTGAAGCAATTAATGATACACCTTCAGAATAAATCTTTGTGCACAGCAGTTTGCAAACCGAATATGAAACAGTTTTATTTCTGTTGAGGCGTGAGCAGAGCAGTACATTTCACCCACATCCCACTGAAAGCTTTACAGGTTACAGAGCTTCTGTGGCTTAGTGCAGTAGTTTGTCCTGACCCTCTCACGGACACAGTCACTGTAGTCAGTGTTGCACTTGCCACACTTGCAGCTCACAGCCACGGGGTAGGAGTAGTAGGGGATGGTGTGGTGAGGGCAGCCCGGGATCAGCGCTGTCCGGTACAGCATCTCTTTGTAGGTGCACACGTTCTGGGACAGAGCACTCTTGAGAAGCAGCTTCTTGCCGTTGCTGTCCTACAAAGAGAAGAGAAATGTGGTGTTTCACTGAAGCTCACGTGTGTCAGAAACATCCTGTGAGGTGCAGAGACCAAAACTCATACCTGAGCCCAGCTCTGGTACTACTGAGTTCAGAGCTCTAATTGTGACTGGGGCTCCCTCCCCACACAGACACATTCCCCTTGTTTTTATGGTTTAACTAATCCACATGGCTCAGAGTGTTCCCTGTGCTTTGTGATCTCTTCTAGCTCCCTGCTGCCCAAACTGGAACTCAAAATGCTGCGTGGAACAGTGAAGTTGTGTGGAGTGGTGTGGCTGCAGCAGAGCTGTCCCCACAGCCAGCTGAGATAGCAGCAGTGGGAGCAGAAGTTATCTAAGTTATTTACATTAATTTAGAGTGACCCAATATAATCTGCCCCTCACCTGTTCCATCCTGCCCTCACAAACTGCCCACAGGGGCTCTGCAGTGGCAGCAGCAGTCAGGTCTCTGTTGTGCCACTGGTGTTATCAACTCCATAGTCCCAGAGGCTTGGCATTTGTCACCCCCACTTTTGCAAAAAGCTAACTTGAAACCATGGTGATGGTGCAGTTTATCTGCCTGTGATAAACTCTTTTACAGTTTGCTCATTTGCACGCTATTTTCTGTGAGAAGAGAGCCTTGGTTTGCAGGGGTGGCTGTTACAGAAACATCTGTACCTCGTACCCGAGTCATGCAGAATCCAGCGCAGATGGTGGTGTTGATGGCCAGGCAATAGGCACACTCTCGTTTCTCCACATGGATTGTGTACTCAGAAGGAGCACAGAGTGATGCTGTTTGTCCGAAAATCAGGCCGAAGAGGAGAGACAGCACAAAGAAGGGACTCATGCTGGATGGGGAAGAAGAAACAAACAGAGCAAGCCACAGGTAAAATGGGATGTACCTTCCAGCCATGTCCTCAGCATGCGACAGGAGCAGCCAGGACAGCCACAGACCTGGAGTAATCTTAACATTTCTAGCTACAGCCTGACAATTTCTTTCCAATCTCAGTCCTTATTGAAATAATACTGACCATTAAACAGAGAACAAGGGCAAAGAGGCCATTAACAACATAGAACAAGTTCACTTTCCCCCCGCTAAAGCGTATTACATGGATTTTCTCACTTGTGACTGATAAAATCCTGGCATAGAACAAATAAGAGGAGCTGAAAGATATGAAAGTGTGACACATAAGATAACATGAGCTCTAGCATTAAGCAGAGATAATAAAATAATCTCACCGCTTTAAAACAATTTTCTAAAGAAAGCATCTTATAAAATGTTAAAGAGACAAAAAGACAAGGCTGTGCATATCAGGCATAAAACTGGATTTTTCAATTTCCAGTGGCTTAGAGGCATGATGAGATGGGAACACGGCCAAGAACTAAATAAAAAATTCAAGCAAATTACAATAAAGACCATCAGCAAAGAGTTCCACTTAATGAATCCTGCTTTATCTGTCTGTTGTTCTGACCTCATTTCTCAGACCTGCAGGGGGATCCTGAGAACAAAGCCTTGATTAGCTCCAAGACAATTTCAGGAACTACTCTAGAGCCTCTAAATGATAAACTTTAAATGACAGTGTCTACCAACAACAGGACATCACCCTCTAGTCTCTTCCAGCTGCCAGTTTCCCATAGCAAAGCCATCCATTTCACAGGCTGGTTTACCCTGTAGCTGCAACACCACCAGTCTGGAAAGACCAACCTCTTGTCAGCAGAGTTCTTCCCTATTACAGGAACCTGATTCTGCCTTGAGCTGGGAGAGGCAGTGACCCAGCACAAGCTCTGTGTGTGCTTTATACTCTCCTGGCTGATCTTACTGTTTATGTAATTGCATCTCAACTGCTGCTTTCTTATCACAAAGTCATCTATTGAAAATTCATACTGAACCACAAAGCAAATGTGATAGGAACAAACATGTCCATAATATCCTAACCTGGAAACTGGAGCTGGAAATCTAATTATATTAACAGTAATTCCCTCCTCAGGCTTTTAAACTAACCAGCGCTTTTAAAAAGTTATTATTGATTAATTTAATTGCTCCATAGGACAGCAAGAGCATGGCAGGAAGGCTGGCATGGATATGGAGTCCTCCAGAATCACAGCTGCTGAATTTTACACCTGTGTTTTGCTAAGGTTTAATGAGCTCTGGTTCACTCTGCTTGCTCCTTGCCAGGCACAGCTGCGAGATGCTGGCACAGGGTGCCTGGGGACCTGCGGCTGTCCCAGCCCTGGAAGTGCCCCAGGTTGGAGCAGTCTGGGATCGTGAAGGTGTCCCTGCCCATGGCAGGGGGTGGGATAGGATGAGCTTTAATGTTCCTTCCAACGTAAACCATCCTGGAGTTCTCTAAGTCTGTGCAGTGCTCACGAAGCAACAAATCTGAAATCAAACCCATGGCGCTGCAGCCTGGCACAGACTGATTTACCTGCTCAAGCAAAGCACGCTCAGAAATTGGCTGGCCTGGAGCCTTCTCAGCAAACATTGAAGCAACAAGCAATTCACTGAATACTGATTGATAGGGAAAAAACTTACAAAACCACTCCTTGCAGCACAGTAAAAAACAAAATATTGCATCAATACCAATGAAACAATGTCCCCAGATGGGGGAAAACACTCACATTTGGGAGAGCAAGAGGGAGAAGTGGTCTACAAAACCACTGTTCTGTGTCAGCCCCTCCCTGCAGCTCTGGGAACACGTGCCCTTCCAGGCCATCACCTAACTCCTATTTGTAATCTGATTTGATGGATGTAATCTGATCAGATGGTCTTATGCAGGTCAACCACATTCCTGATTTACATAGCCATGAGAAGCATGGAAAACGTGAGTTTGAGGTGGTAAATGTGGTTACTTTGAGCTGTTGGAGGAGTGATCCAGTTGGTGTTCAGCTAATTCCTGCACAACAGGGTCTCCTTTTCCTGTGGTTTCAGACTGCTGCACACAAGTCTCTGTCCTGCACTGATTTTTCAAGCATTTTTAGGATAACATAATGGAGGTTTTGTTCACTTAAGACTAGCCAAATGCTTTCTGTTTTCATGGAGTCTTTAATTCTGGGTTAATTTCTCAGGAATGAAATATAATTTAATTCTATTTAAACCTCTTTCTGGCTTAGGGACATCAGCAGAGTATTAATTGTACTCTTTATTTTTGTCCATCTCACTTAGCAACAGCAGAGTAACACTCACTTTGCTATTACACCAGTATGTTATTAACTCTGTATTTTTCTGATATTTTTGGAATACAAACACTCAGGTTCTCTCCGTATACACTACACAACCCCACACAGATAATGTATATGTGTATATATACACTGTACACACACACACAACATACACGTGTATGGGCTTGGTAGTTTGAAGCTTTAACCACAGAAAAGAATGTTTGTTCTTGGGAAATACAGAGACTATTTCAAAGGACACAAAGAACCTGAAAAAATTCATAAAACTAAAACCTGGAGAGGACAAAAAATTATCACAGTAAGAATAAAAAACCAGCATTCTTAAAGCAAAAATATGATATGTAAGCCTTGCATGCACAGCTGATTCTTTCCTCTAAAGATTCACAGCTTTAGGGAGTTGGAGCTGCATTTCTGCACCCTGGAGACCACCACAGCCAGGTTTAAATGTCTCAACATCCTTTGTAAGAACATAGACAGAGAACAGGTCAGAGTGTGAGGACATGTACTCTTTGCTGCCTCAAAGTGCCAATTTCTCTGAGCTGAGAAAACTGGGTGTAAGGAGGAGGGGGAGATTAGTGTGAAAAAAAGGTTTAAGAATTTGCCTTAACAAGATTTAGTGAGATGTCTGCAAACATCAGCAGCAAGCTGTAATGAGGTTTGAAAGTCATAATAAAGATGAAAAAGAGAGTGCAGCAATAAAAACTATAGCAACAAAAATAGAGGAAAACCAACAACAATATCTGTTAGAGGTGAGAATATGCAGAAAACTTGCACAGAAAGCTGAAGAGTAGGAAATAAACTTCTGGAGGCCAGAGGCCAACAATAAAGTCAGGGAACATTACAAGATGAAGACAAGCTGTTGATGCAGAGTAAGTGCAAAGGCTTCACTAAGTACTTGTGCTTTTGAAAACATAGTGACTGAACAACCACACACAGATCTGCAACAAAAATTATTGAATAAATATATAAGGAATAAAATATTTTAAACTCAACATTATTAGCTAGCTAATGCTCATTACAAGAAGTCTGGAATACTGAGGAAATTTCAAAACATTAAAAGAAAGTGCTAATATAATGGCAATATTTAAGGAAAAAGTGTTGACCCAGGTAACTCTCCACCAGCCAGGTAAAATAACAGAAAATTGAGACAGGATTTGAGCAATAAAGAATTAACGGATGAAAATGTAATTACTGATGTTACATAAAATAGGTCATGCCACAAAAACCCAATTTCATTGTTTGCAGTGATTACAAATTTGGTTGTTAAAGCAATTGCACAGATGCAATGTCTTTGGTTCCATCTGTGCAGAGCTCCCCTGTCAGGAAGGTTTAGAGCTGTCATCCCTGTGTGGGGATACTGAGTGCGGGCAATTATCAACCACTGGAGCAGTTGGTTTAATCTCAGTGGTACCTTTATGCACTGCAAGGTTTTTACCCAGCCTCTGAACACTCTGCACTGTACTGGGGAAATACCTGACCAGGTATTAAGAGTGAAAATTCATTTATCTGGAAAGGCAATAAATGACTCTGAGTGGAGCTTGGGGCCAATGTGAGTGCTGCTTATCAGCTCAGCCCCATGCTGATATGGTCACAGAACCTCCTGGCTGCTGCCTTTCCCTTGCTGGCACTGTTATCCTGCCCATCAAAAGGGTGGTATTGATGTATATTCAGTCATTTACACAAACTGTCAAGCTGGCAAAAAAGCTCCTGGATTGTCCTTATGGCTGTGACCATGGAACATTCATTACTGAGCTCTCTGATGGGAGTGAGATCCCATAAGCTACAGGGAGAAGCAAGACAAAAGACTGTGCAGGACAACAAAGTCCAGTGTCACAATTTGTGAGTGCCTGAGGCTTCTTCCATGCAGTTTCCTAAAATCCATCATCCACAGTCTGATACTTATGGATCTGTTTCTTTGGTTACCCTCCTGCTGACCTGCAGAGACTCAGTGATAGAAATTTTTAATGTGCTTTTATAGCCCAGCTTTGCAGCCCTGTTCTGGAACAGCCAGTTACACTGTTAATTATTTATCTTTAACCTTTCTGTTAACCAAACCAATCCATTCCCTGACATCAGTGATTTTACTCTTTCATTAAGTGAATGATGGTGTGCTGATGTTCTACAGGAAGTGCTTCAAGTGATATCTGTAAATAGAATTTAGTAATTATAAAAACCTTGGGTTCATTCCCCAGGAGTCTCCGTAATGGGCTACAGAAATTCAGTGCATACCAGAAGCTCGTATGTAACAGTAATTTAATAGGATTCTCTGTCACTGATCAATGCCTAAAATAAAAGGAGGAACAGTCAGAAGTTATCAGACATTATTCCTGCTCACTCTGCCCCTGGTAGTGGTACAACACAAAGAAAACTTTGTGATCCCATGAGCAGGTTACTTACAGAGCAGGCCCACTCTTATTTCCATGAAATATGCAGCTATAGATAGTAAAGTAAAAACATGTCCACACTTGCAAACAACCAATAATTGGAAGCTCTGCTGATGAAAAACAGACAAAAGCAATCAGATTCTGAAAGATGAGTATTCTGGTAGAGGAATTATTGCCAACTCCATCCAGTTCCAGCCCTCCACTGATAAAAGGAAATAAGATCCTGATATGCTGCCATAGAAACAAGTGTTTTTGCCAGGTTTTGCATTTAAACAGCCTGTGGCTGCTGAATTTTCAAAGCTATTCTGCCTATTCGAGTCTCTGTAACTGCTTGAAACACAGCTCTCATCTCTCAAATTTATAGATTCACAGGCTGCTCTTCTCTTTCTTTCCTAGGATTAGCAGCAGCATTTCCTATCAACCACAGATTAAAACAGCAAATCTCTTTGTTGCATATCATATGCCAGCAATCTCCATTTATGGTCTGAAAATGCTTCATAATCCAATTTGCTGTTTGGCTCAGATGATAGCGCCCTTTGGATTTGGTTTCATTTCTTTGGAAAGTCTAGATATTTGTTAGTCTAAGATACACAATCACTGTGCTGAGGGCAAAGCAAAAAAAAAACAAACAACAAATCGGCACCAAAGACAATCCAGAGCCTCCTGCAGTATTGTCAAGGATGAACAGTACCAACCCAGTAGCATAAAAATGCTAAAGGTAAAACTCTGCCCCAGGTGTGACAGAATAGAAGAAGTAAATGCTCAATATTTGTCTTTACAGAACTGAATTTTCAATCCACCTTTATGTTTAAAAAAATAGGATATTTACTTTAAAAAGCTACTAAAATGTAGTATTACATATATTTATCAATTTTAACAAAGATCAAACATATTTGTATTGTAGTCTATAAATATTTTAGTATAAATTGCTTAAAATATTGAAAATCCGGTTCTGAAAAGTATACTTCCTCAGTGGAACCTAACTATAAGTGTGTAAAACTCAAGTAATGTGTTTTCCTCTTGTAATCTTCAAAAGTTCTCACTGGTTGAGTTGTCCTAAAAACTACCCTTCCAGTCCTGATCCCACATCATTTGTCTGTTCCAGACAAAAATAGGGCCTACAATGCCCCAAAATTCTGCTGCTGACTAGTAACAGAGTAAAATTGTCATGATCCTGTTTTCTATACCTCTATAAGCAATTATATTTTACTGTAGCAAAGTGAACTCTTACTTTTTGATTCTATTAAGTCAGCAAATTGATTTTGTGAGTCCTGCAGCTGAGCCTTGATGTCTCCTATTAAATCATCTTTTTCATCACTCTTTATGGTTAGAGCTGAAATCAAACAGAATAAGAATAGCATTATAATGAAGGAAAAAGGACAGATTCTACTTTCAGTTGTCCCTGTGTCTAATAAGCAGAATTCAAGTTAAATAAAGTGGCTGGTCTTAGCCAAGTATTGATCAAGTCTTGGGAAAGTTCTCCAAAATCAAAACACAAATTCCAACAGAATTAAAAGCAGAATTGAAGAGCATTTACGTTTGCTGGACTTCTCTGTGAAGTGACCACAGAAATCTCAAAGTAATGCTTCTAAAAGAGAGAAAAACCCCATAATATGTGTCACAGGAATGCACAAACTTCCTGGGCCTGAGGATTAATAATGTAATGACCTTTACAATATAACAGTTAAACATTCCTGTTCATGCCAGCACTGTTGTCAGCACAAAAAAATGCTTCATAAAAATAAATTTGTATTACTTACTCATCTTCCAGTTTTAAAGTGAGTTTTTCATGTTCAAACTAATTTCAAAGTGAACAAATAGGAAACTACATTGTTATTGAAAAATATCCTAGAAATAAACTTTTGTTTCTCAAATCTCGCATGGAAAAGTATTTTTGTTCATCAGAAGACAGAAGTCTGATTAATCTGATATTCCATGCTGAGTCATCTTTTGCATGAAAGGAAGAATAAAAATCAATAATTTACCAGCAACTGAAACACTTGCAGTTTCTTCACCCACACATTCACACAGGACAGGTGCACACCCCTGCTCAGAATAATCATTTTCTCATTGTAAAAATCAACATGCAACATTCTTTAGTATTTAATTGTATTAGTAATATTGTCATGCTAAATCAAGAAGCATTTTCTCTTTGGTTCATCTGTTCAGTGTATATTGTACTATCCTGGCCTGCAGCTCTTGAATGTCTTTATGCTGTGCTTCAATAACCTTTCTATTTTCTTGCACTTTCTTTCTGGTTTAGTTCTGATTCCACAGCCAGTTTCCACTGCTTGATCTTCTCAGTGTCTTTGTAGAGTTTCCAGTACAATTCATTCATTATTTCTACACTCTATTAAAACAAGTTCCACAATTTAATCTCAAATGCTGTTTAGTTAATAATGTTATAAATACCTGTTTATCTCTTCAAAACACCACAAGAGTAAATTCTTTTCCACAGAGGATGGAACATGATTAGGAACATGATTTGTACATGATTAAGAACCAAGGTTTGACTCTTGGTGCAGCTGCTGTGTTTGAAGGAACAGACATTGCAGGACAAGGAGGAGACAAACACAAGTGGAAAATCCCCCAGTGCCTTCAGCCATGCCCAGAGAGAAGTGAAATCCGAAATCCACGGAAATCAGCACTGGGGCGTGGGACGGGCAGGGCTGGGGCAGGGCTCTGGTTCAGGTGTGATGTCCCCACAGCCCCTGGGCTTGGCTGCACCACACTAACGCTGCAGTTAGTCCTCAGGGATAGGAAAATCAGGAGGAGAATGGCAAGAAATAAGTGCTATTTTGTAGCAGCAAACAGCATTTTGTATCTGGGCAACACAGAAGTACTGAAAAGAATGAGCTTTGCTGAGCTGTAGTGAAGCAGTTGGTGAAGACACTGTGAGAAGAATTAAATTCTAGAGAAACTATTCCACTAAATGCATTGTTTATAGATAATGCCAGACAGTGCAACTGGGATAATCTATTTCATTTTTCCAAAGAATACTTTGGCTTCAATCCTTCTACCTTTCAACAGACTATTCAAAACCAATTTCACAAAGATATTTAAGTGCCTAAATCTTATTCTGATTAAAACTTACAGTTCTCCCTGGCACTTTAAAAGAAAAACAAACCAAACAAACAAAAACAAACCACAAATGAACAGAAAACCCAAATAAATAGAAACAAAATAAAAAAGAATCAAAACAAAACAAAAAGAAACCAACTAACAAACTTGGATTCACCATAATTTTAAAAGTTTTGTCTCTAGGCATGTTCCCTGAATCACAAATGTCTCCTCTAAGTGATTCAGCTGTAAACAGGAAACAAAGAATTATTATTCCCCTTTGCCTTCTTATTTAGCCTTGAAATATCCACTGAATAATACTTGAGGAACTGTTTGTGAACAAATTAAGAGGCCCTAAGAATTTAGATTAAGCAGAGTTGATGCATAGCTGACTCCTTCATCTGCTTCAGAGCTGTTTTACTTGCTGTGAAATAATATCTGAACTATGAAGTGATTTTGATTAACATATTTTTTAAAAAACTAACAGTGAAACTGTATTCAACATTTACAGCTACTAAACTGTTAGAATACTCATTAATATTAAAACCCAACAATATTTTAAAATGTTAAAGAATGTGCAAGGTAAAATTTATTTTAGTTTTACCCAAATCAGTGATTTTGCACAGTACAGGGACTGAATGGCAAATTAAAATTATCACCTGGGCATTTGTTAAACTCCTGCACAAACTTAAAAGTTAGTTTCCTATGGGTAGATTTGTAGAGGATTATAAAATCCAGAATTAAAAAAAATACAGCTAACATGAAAATACAATTTTTAATTAATAAATCAATTGCCTTCAAGTTTTGAAATTACCAAAATTGGTAATGGCTTTGGAACTCGCTTGCTTTGTATTTCACAGTGGCTTTTCAAACCACTGGTGTTTTGTAGTTTACTTTTTAGGCTGTGGCCAGAGTGGAAGCTTCTGATGAGAATTCATCAGCTGCTGTCTGTCTGTGCACAGGTGCATGATAAAGGATTCAAGAATCAAAATTATTTCTTTTGAGTCCAGTAGTTGATATTTATTTTTTCTTTACCCCCATGGGTAGTTTTAAACACCAAATCTGACTATGTTTTAGTATGAAAATGCCATTTTACAAGGTTTTCAAGTCACAAAAAAATAGGATAAATAATGTAACTCATCTCCTGTCAGAATATCACATTTGAATCTAAACATATTCCATAAGGAACCTCAACATGAAACAATAATTTGTTTAATTCACATAACTCAGTGTGGTGACAGAACGTTTTCACTGCACATTTGGTCTGGTGTAAGCAGGACTTCAAAGCCAGTGCAAGCATCCAAGTGGGGCACTGCTCACTGCTGGATCACCCACATCAAACATGGATTTATCATCGGTGATGTGCAGTTACAGCACAGCACAAATGATTGAGAAGATTATTTCCTTCAGTCTTGATAGAGAATAACAACAGAAGTCTTTGAAATTAAAGATGTTCCTTCCAGCACCAATCTTGGCAGTCTGCAGAGAAAATACTTCAGCAAATTTCACACATAGAACCATGGAATGGGTTGGGTTGGAAGGGACCTTGAAGCTCATCCAGTGCCATGGGCAGGGGCACTTTCCATTATCCCAGCTTGCTGTAAGTCTGGTCCAACCTGGCCTTGAACACTTCCAGGGACAGGCTGAGATGTGTGTACTTGGCTCAGGACTCTGCCAGGGGCTCCCAGCAGTGTCCCCGTGTCCCTGTTGGTGTCCCCGGCCCATTGTGGCCAGGCTGTGGGCGGCCAGTGGCACCTCTGACCTGGCACAGCCCCACGGCCCGAGTGCTCACCAGCTTTGGCCGCAGGCCCTGAGCGGCGCTCAGGCGCGGCTGCACGAGCCGTTTGAACGGGCTTTTCTCGGTGGGCCTGGGGAAAAGCAGTGGCACTGACACTCGGCACCGACATCGCCGCCGGTACCGATACTAGCACCAAATGACACCGGCACCAACACTGACAGCAACACCAACACCGACACTGACACCAGCAGCGACAACCAGCACCGGCACTGGCACTGACATCAGCACCAGCGCTGACAGCAGAGCTGAGCATGGCACCCAAACCGATACCGGCACTGGCACCGACATCAGCACCAGCGCTGACAGCGGCACTTGAGCATGGCACTCAAACCGATACCGGCACCAGCACCAACACCAACATCAGCACCAGCGCTGACAGCGGCACTTGAGCATGGCACTCAAACCGATACCGGCACTGGCACAAACATCAGCACGAGCACTGACAGCAGAGCTGAGCATGGCACCCAAACCGATACCGGCACTGGCACCGACATCAGCACCAGCACTGACAGCAGTGCTGAGCATGGCACCCAAACCGATACCGGCACTGGCACCAACACCAACATCAGCACCAGCACTGACAGCGGCACTGAGCATGGCACCCAAACCGATACCGGCACCCGCACCGACATCAACACTTGTACCAACAGCGGCATCTTGTACCGCCACCACCTACACCGGCAGCAACGCCAGCACCAACATCGACACCAGCACTGACAGCGGCACTAAGCGTGGCACCCAAACCGATGCCAGCACCGGCACTGATAGCGACACCAACACTCGTACCGACAGCGACATCGCCACCACCCCCCGCACCGGCAGCGACAGCGGCACCGGCCCCTCAGGGCGGCCGCTGAGGGAGGGCGGAAAGGGCGGGAAACGACGGCGCGCGCCCGAGGCGGGAAGGGGCGCGCGGGCCGGCGGCCGTGGCGCCGCCTAGTGGAGGTCCCAGAGGTCGCGCAGCGGCGCGGCCAGGCGCGGGTCCCGCGCGCGCAGCGCCCCCGCGTGGGCGTGGCGGAGCGAGCGCAGCTCCGTGAGGCGCCCCAGCAGCCGGGCGAAGCGCTGCGGGTCCCGCGGGTGCTGCAGCTTCGAGTGCTTGTACAGGATCCCCAGCAGCGGCTCCTGCAGCTCCTCCACGTGGCGCTTGTCCCTCAGCAGCGGGCGGTCTGCGGGAGAGCGGCGGCACGGAGAGAGCGGTGAGCGGGATGCTCCGGGCGCCGCCGCCCCGCAGGGTCCGGTCGGCGCCGCCGCCCCTGAGGGGACAAATGGGAGCTCCCCCGGGGCAAGTGACAACTAGCTGTTGTCACCTTCCCAACTTACCTGAAAAGAATACTGTTGTTGCTACGAGCAGAGCGTATTCGGTCTCGGTCACTTTGAGTTCGCCCATGGTTCTGTAGAAGTAGAACAGGGCGGTGATGAACTCCTCAGTTATGCCTGGGAAATGGAAAAAAACCAACATCTTTTGGTTAAAAAACAACAACAACAAAAACCCCCAATAAACGTGCAGAATAATGAGGATGTTATTTCAGCGCAGAAAAAGTTGCAAATCATCTTTGCCTGAAGGGTGCGAGGTGACCCTCCCTGATACATGTGTGGGCTGCCCAGGACAGGGGACATGGAGCTCCTGGAGCAGGTCCAGCCGAGGCTGGGGAGCTCATGAGGGGGCTGGGGCATCTCTCTTTGGAGGAAATGGTGAATGGTTGGACTCTGTGATCTTAGAGGTCTTTTCCAAGCGAAGTGATTCCATGATTCTGTGAAAGGCTGAGGGAGCTGGGACTGTTCAGCTCAAGAAGATTCCCAGCTGAGAGGGGCCCTCAGGCCTGGGTGTTCCTGTCTGCAGGGACCAGCAGTGGCACCAGGCAGGAACTGATGCTCAGGAAGTTCCACATGAGGAAAAACTTCTTTCCTGTGAGGGAACAGATTGCCCAGAAAGGGTGTGAAGTCTCTCTAATTGGAGATATTCCAGACGCATCTGGAGATGAGCTGGTGCCATATGTGCTCTGGGATGACCCTGCTGGAGCAGGGAGGTGGCTCCAGGTGACCCACTGTAATCCCTTCCAACCGCACTCATTCCATGATTCTGTGAATCTTTTAAGGCTTGGGGCTGTTCCATTGCATGAAATAGTTAACTAACTTTGTGAAAGCAATGTTAATTGCTAAAATAATAACAAAAGTTGTATGACAGTTGTACTGTGGAGCTTTGAATTTATATATTACTCAAAAGATATAAGCAAGCATGAAGACACCTCTTCTGCCATGAGGATGTCATGCCAGTGTGTGATACCTGAGTAGGTAATGCCAGAGAAGCTCAAGGGAGAGGGAGAGGAAAAGGAAAGGGAGAGGGAGAAGGGAGACAAGGAGCTGGAACAGTGGCCATAAGGACATTGTAGCTCAGTGTAAGAAAAATAGGTCCAGTAAAGCAAAAAATTCAGTGTTTAGATTCTGAGACCTCCATTACCTGTGGTAGTAGTAGAAGTTGGTCTCTCTTTATTATGACACATTTCCATGGAATAAATATTGTTTTTATCAAGGTTTTGAACATGACAACATGTCCCGTGATCAGAAAGTCTTACATGACCTGGAACAAGGCAGATGACAGTTCCCAGTCAAGCTTAAAGTGATCTTAAATATTTGTCTGTATCATTGCTGAAAATGTGTGACTTTTTCCCAGACCCACAAAGGTATAAAATCCTTTTTTGGCATCTGGATCCAAGTTCTTTGCTTGCGTTTTTATTGGTCAAGGTCTCTTGTGTTAAATGTGACACAATGTATTATATGTAATTAATATAGCTGATATAATCCCCTCACCCCACAATGATGCAAGTCAAGTATTTCAGACCTACTTTCACTGGTTGATGGCTGGCACTCGCTCATTCTTTGGTTGTAAATTTGGGCTGATCTCAAGAACATCGCCTCCACTGTGGACCCTTTCAGCAGAGCAATCTGGTCCTCACTGGCTAAACTCTCAAACCCTGCAGAGAAAGGTGCATGTTCAGGATCAGGGAAGGCTGGGGTTGCCTTTAAGCCCCAAACATCATGTGAAAAAGATGGTTTTTTTAAAAAAATAAATATCTTTACTGGAAAGAGAGAGCCATAGTTAAATGATGCATATACCAAAGATTTGGGATCTTTCTTGCTAGTTTGCAGGTTAGACAATTAAAAATAACAAAAAAGAAGGAGCAGTTTTCAGTGTTAAAAGATTCACAGGAAGATACAAGTAAAAAATATGGGACTAAGAAAGGGGTTATCAAAACATTCTTCCTAATATCTGATAAATATAGGCCTAACACCTGATAAATTTGCTGCATTGTTTAGTGACTGTGGATATTCCATTAATTGTTACATTATTTTCTTTTTAGAAATTGTGTTCATCTTTTGACAAGCTCATTGTCTGCACTTGTAATTCAAGAGCAAAGGAACTTTGGTATTTTTTTAAGACTGATCAAAGCAGGATATGTAACACAAGAAAACAGACAGCTCACCCCTTCCTTCAGCTCTGCCCCACAGAGATGCTAAATTACATCAAATACCTGCTTTAGATAGGGTGATTGACCTTTGTCAGTGAGTTTTACAAAGAAAAGTTATCACCCTCCCTGTCAAACGCTCCTTTGTCAACTTTACACTGAAACTGAGTGAATTTAGTTGCATGTTCCCTTGTTCTTTATGAAAGAAAAATATGAATAAGAACACCTGGTTAGTCCCTTCTGTGATGCCTTTTCCTTTGAAGAAACATCTGTTTTTTCCTTTGGTGACTGTGATAAATTGTAGACTCAGATTGGATTTCAGAGAATGTGGGGCAATAGTAATTCCCTCAGGGTTGTATTTAGAGCTCCATGTGCTTCCAGAAAATGTCTCTACTCCATGTCAGAAATGGAGAAGAAGTCTAATCATAGGAAAGTTTTGAACTGAAAGCTTCTAGGTTATCCTCGTGACATGTAAATGGCAAGTTAGAAGTACAAATAATCAGTTTAAAGCCTTTTCTTAAAGTCGGTATGCCATCAGTTTGATTTGGTTCCTCTAATGTTCCCCAAAGGAAGGAACTCACCTGGGAGTCTTTTTGTGAAATCCACCAACACCTGGACATGGACAACGGCTGTCTCAGACAGGTGGAGGAAACTTTCCTCAGGACTTGCAGTTTCCTGTAGCTGCAAAAAGAGTATTTACACACTGGATATAGCCAAGATACAGCACAACAGTGACTCAGCAATGCAGGCTGGGTGTGCTGGATACCTACAAACTTCCTGGCTTCCTCAAGGGGAATTGTGTATTTTTGGTGTGCTGCTACGATGTGATCAAGAAGCTGATGTTCTCCTGGAGTAAGTTCCATCTTCTCTGGGATCTGCTAAAAAAATAAACCAATCAAATCACAATGACTTGGACTAAGAGTAAGTGATAAAAAGAGATATTTTAAATAGAAAAATATCCCACTTTTCCAGATCTTGTTGTAGATGATACTTGCTTACTATTCAGTCCCTCATCTTCCAGCTTTATGTTGCAAAGGAAACTGCTCTTCTGCTTGAAATTCTTCCTGAGTCGCTTTGACTTGCACTGGACTTCAGTCAGCAAACCTGTGAGGTGTGAAGTGGCCATCAGTGCTTGCATTTTCAATTAATTGCCGTCTGAAGTTATCACTTTTGTTAGAGATAACTCCAGTCTTGCATCACAGAAGCTGTCACCTATAATGATCTATGTGTCCTAGAGAATGTGGCTGTGTGTTACTTATCAGGTGAGCTGATGTTCAGTAGCCACCAAAGGCCTGAGGGTCTGCAGGCATCTTTGTCCTGGTGGCTTTGTGACACAGAGGCATCAGAATTTTTTATCAAAGCCCATCATGCCATTTTTATTTAATTTTTTTCCCCTCAAACTATAAAGCTCATCTGATCTGCTCACTGCTATGCAGACAAAACTCAGGATATTTACCTTATCTTCTACATAGTACTTCCTTGTTTTTCCTTGTACTGTCTTTGACCAACAGCTCTCTTAAGGTGAGTGGGCACTTCCCAACAATTGCTGGCTTCTGCACACCAAGATGCTACAGGTGCCACCATCCCCAAAGTTAATTTTTCTACAGCCAAACAAAGCTTATAGCAGCATCATTGGGAAGGGATTGACTTTGGAGAAGGTTTTATCTGGGGTGACTAAAGAAGAACCCAGCAGGAAGGAGCACTCACATTCTGCCAGCATTCCCACAGCTCTGCACTTCTTGAGGCGGCATTCCTGGCACTTCCTCCTCATGTACATGTCCATCTCGCAGTGCCCCCCGCTCTTGCAGCGGTACACGGCGTTCTTGGTGATGCTGCGCCGGAAGAAGCCTGGGAACGAGGACCAGGTCATGGCTGGGGCACTCGAAGGAGCTTTATCTCACAAGGATTTAAAAGGGTTTGAATGGTTGGGTTTTTCAAATGGAAACTTTGCCTTGATTTTAAATCTGCTTTTGAAAAATGTAGTTATGGCTGGTTCTTTCTGACTGATATTAGTCGACATTTTCCATACATAGAATCATAGAATATGCTGATTTGGAAGGGACCTACGAAGATCACCAAGTCCATCCCCTGAGCCTGCACAGACACCCCCATACCCCAGCCTGTGCATCACTGAGAGCTATTCTCAAATGCTCCTGGAGGGGCTGTGCCCATTCCCTGGGGAGCCTGGGCAGTGCCAGCACCCTCTGGGGGAAGAACTTTTCCTGATATCCAACCTAAATCTCCTTGTACAGCTCCAGCCCTTCCCTCGAGTCCTGTGCCTGGTCATAGGGAGCAGAGATCAGAGCTGCCCCTCATGAGACAGCTCCCATAGGAACAAGTTAAAATATGATTAGCAAGTAATTACTACTTGCTTTTATTCACTTACAATAATAAGTGAAATTAATAACACTGAAATAAATCTAAGAAATGTTCATTAGAAAACCAGCACCTGCTTAAGCTGACACCATTCTAGTGAGTCATCAATGCAAAAATGAGATGCTTGAAGTGCTCGTATTAAATACAGACTGTGAAAATATTTTTTCAAAGAATGTTATAAAAATGTGAATTTGGAGAAAGAGGGTTAGATAGGGGGTTCATTAGATAAATTAAAAGCCAGTGTGGTAACACCAGCTCTAACCCCAGCCCAATCTGTCTGGGAGGTGGCACCGAGGCCCCGTGTCCCCGCTCACCTTTGCAGCCCTCGCAGGTCAGTGCATTGTAGTGGTACCCCGAGGCCTTGTCCCCACACACCACGCACAGCTCCTCCTGCCCCTTCAGCCTCACCGAGTGGTTTAACCGGGGCCTCTTGAGCCCCTGGTACCCCCCGTCCTCCCCGTGGGGAGCCAGGAAGGGGCCCTTGCTGAGCTCGCAGCTGCTGCCGACGCAGGGCCCATCGTACGCGGGCTCCAGGCTGTAGGAGCCATACGGGGCCGGGCTGGGCTGGGGCTGCAGGGCTGGCACTGGCACTGCTGGGTACTGGCAGTACGGGGCAGCCTGGAAATCCACGTCCTGCAGCTGGTAGTTGATGTGCTCCGGTAGAACATCTGTGCCGGGGGAAATCGAAAGTGGAGTGAAAACCTGGAGAACATCTCAACATCAGCTGCTCCAAGGTTTAAAAATGTTTTATAGATTTAGTAGTATAAATAATAGAGGAACACGTTTTCAGAAGTGCAATCTGACACATTCTATTTAAATTTAAACCTGTAATGTTCATAAGTGAAATCTGAAATGTAGCAAAAATGGCTCAGTAGCAGTTTGGGCAATGTCATGTGTGTGCCACTGCATTAGTGTTAGTAAATAATTGAATATCACTTGCCAATTGATGGCACAGTTGCCTTCAGATCTTACACTTAAAGGTTGCTTTTATTAACTGTCCACACTACAGTCAAATACCTTCCACAAGTGAATTTCTTAATGAATAAAGTGTTTGTTACTGATACATATCTGAGACATCGTTTTGAAAACGTTGCACAAAGGTCTGCAAAAAATTGTGTAGAAATCAGAGAGTACTAAAAGATAGTGTGACAGGGGTCTTAAAGTTGGACTTCAGAGGAGTAAAAAGTAGAGACTTGTTTTATTTAGTATTTTGCCACACGTGTCTTTACAGTTATGAGATTTTAGTTTAGTAAAATGTAGGTACAGAATTACAAAGAGAGTTTCTTCCTGCCTTTCTGTCTGTTGAGTTTCCATTTTATCCAGCCTCCCTTAAATACACACAGCTATACCAAAGAAAGCCTGTGCAACATGCATCATGTTTCATTCTTCCTTTGGGATTATTAAAAAATCTCTATAAAACAAATTGGAAATATTTTTTTAAACAGGTTTTTTTTTCTCTTTAGTGGGCTTTGGGTTCTGCCTTTAGTCTTCCAGAATCAAATTAGTTATTGTAATTATAGTTACATAAGATATAGAACAGGCATTATCTATTTATAATGTATCTGGAATACTGTAATAAAACCTGTGTCTTCTCCATGTAGGTCAAAGGGAGACAGAACTGGGGATGTTTATAGGGAATGCTCAGTCAGAATAATCCCGTTGTGCTCAAAAGCCTGTATGAGCACACAGTAATAGATTTCCATACACTTTCAGTAGGAGCTTGGTAAGAGTTTTCAAGTGCATTAAAGATAAATTAAAATTAATAAAAAAGAAAATCCCCCAGGAGTTCATTTTGCTGCATTTCCAGAGTACAAAACTTGCTTTACTCACCGTAGTACTGGATGGGCTCGGGAAGGCCGTACCCGTCAGGGACGGTGACAAACGTGTTGGCCATGCTCTGCTCCCAGCTGCACTGCTTCATCCACTCTGCTGTGAGACCAGCCTTTAAACAGCAGCCTGGGAAAGGGAAAAGGAAGAGAAACACCCAATGGGAAAGGATTGCTGGGTAGGTTAGACACAGAGCCAGAAAATTCCAGAATATAGCAGAGTTTTCAGATCATAAGAAAATCAGATGTCTGTGTGAAGTCACACAACACCCTCAATGAGACTACAAAATGTTTGAGTGTCCTGATATTACAGATTCAGGGTAAAATGCTTTCCTAAGTTTCCAAGTTATAGTTAGAAATGTTTTGCTCTGAGTTTTACGCAAAACCATGTGGGGGAATTGGACTGGTAAATTCTTTAATTCAGAGAAGGTTAAAAGCTTAACAGATAGAAAAAAAGCTTGCTTTGGGTAGGAATTGGAGCATTTGCTCTGGTGTATATGTGAAGCTGTCCTGTTTGTGCACAAAGATGGGCTTTTAATGAGTTTATTTCATTCACTTTTTATGCAGAGTTGAAGCAAAGAAAATGGCATGGAAAGGCCAGCATGGAATATCTGTTCTTCATCATGTAAGTACTCATTTATGCATTAAAACTCAACTTTGCCCTGCTTAAGCACTGCCTGAATTACACTTACTGTGTTCCTTTAACGGTGTAAAGTTGTCAGTGAAGACCAAAATATTGATTTCCTACAGGATGTGCTGCCTCTAAAGAGCTTTCCATTGCTCCTTGGTCATTGAAGGAGCTGGGCTCCTGGCTGGATTCGCTGACATTCCCAATAACAAAGTGCACTGAGAGCTCACAGTGACATGGTGAGAAGAGCTGTTGTGCATGGAGTTCAAAACTTAACTAATTTTTCAATAATTTGACTTATAAATTCAAATTTAGAGAAGTTATGAAGAAGTGTGCTTTAAAAACTCTTAAAAGAGTTTTAGAGGGAAAAAAAAAGTCTGTATGGACAGTGGCACGAGCTGGGTTTGAGTTTACATACCTACAACAACATTTGGTGTTGCTCAGAATTGAGAGCTAACAGAGTAGCCATTAGAGGAGAAAGTAGGAATATTTTCCTTGCCCCCTTGTCCCTGTGCATGAGTGGGATGTGGCCACAGGTTAAACCTTTGCTGAGCCTGATGCCCATTGAGCAAGGGCTGTAAGAGACAATTTGCCCATGAACCACTCACAGGCTTTCCCCAAGCAGACAGGAAGGATAGAAAAGATGAAAAAGGCATGGAAGGATTTGGAAAATACAGCAAATCCAACTCCTTCAACAGAATTCTCTGCAGAATTTACAGCAAGTTTGGTTTAAAGATTCTCCCTGAAGGAAGGGGTTTGTGCTATACCTGTAGCTCGCTGCAGCTGAGCCAATGAATGAATCACCCCAGGGAATCTGAAGTCCTGACTGGTAAAACACACATCCCTTCCCCCAAAGTGCACAGAGCTTTGGGGCTGACCACTTTCACTTCGTGTTGTCAGCAGAAGGTGAAAGGATGCAGTGAGGCTGGAATGCTGGGGGTTTGTTATCTCTCCTAGTAAATATTTGTTTGAGAGCAAAATAAGTCACTGAATCATGAGGTCTTATCAGTTAGATCAATTTGGCCTGGGCAAAGTCTACATTTTTTTCCCAAAAATGTGTGTTTGCTGAAGAAATGTGTTTCTGAATTCCTGTGGTTTCTTCAAATAAAAGTCATAATTGAATAGTAGATTAAAAAATTACACTGATCCAGTCTAATAAAAGCAGTATATTGGGAGTATGAAGTACCAAATGTAAAGTGGTCAAGTGCTTAAACATTCTAAAACTTGGAAGCAGATTTTCCTTAGGCAAAGTTTCCTCAGCTTAGTATTGTATGAGAAAGGATTCAGCCCTTCTTACTAATTTTTGTGGCTAATAACAGTAACCAGTTGCACCTACAAAATTTCCAGCTTAGGCTGGACTTCATAAATAAATCTTAAATTAAGAGAATTAAGAGGATGTTAGAACAGTGGGAATAATAAATCTAATGGTTATCTGAGGAATGCTCTACTGTCTTAGAATGAGACATGCATAAACATTAAGTTTCATTTTCTGACATTTGAGAATTTAGTGTTGACAAGCTTGTTCTTCTGATCAAACAAAGCATTGGGATTTTTAAAGCAAAAAAAAAAAAAAAAAAAAAAAAAAGATAATAAGATATGTAGGGAAGGAACTTCATTTCCTAGGCCAGGCAGGTTTTGATTATTTATGAGTGACTGTGAGAGTTGTGTTTTCCAACCTTTGCCTCCCCCCTGGTGAGTGAGGCAGCAGCAGGGAGGTCTCCTCCAAACTGCTGCAGTCCCTGGGATTCCATGAACCATGTGCTGCTCTCCCCAAGCTCTGTGGCCATCCCAAACCCCTCACACCTCACGGACACTTCCCCAGCCCTCACAGACACTCATTAACCTTATCCAGGCAAGGGAATTCTGCAGGTGCCCAGCACGGTGAAGCTCCTGACACAAGGTACCAGACATGCCCAGGTGTCATGTCCAAAGCAGTGACTGGAACAAAGCTGAAATAAGAATGGAGCAACAGGTTTGGATGTTTGGGGCAGCTGAAGCTGTGCCATTCCCAAAACAAAATGTTTTGTGTCCCTTTTTCTCTTTTCTGTATATTCCAAATATAACTTGTGCATGAGTGCTTTAAAAGGAAGCAAAAATCTTAATACATTCACAGAGAGTATGCATAAAGGTCTTTAGCCTAAAAAGTGGAAACAACCGGGAACAAGAAAGGAATTTTAAAATTTTTTTTTTTGTAGCATCCCAAGCAGTAACACTCTTAGGGTGGGAGCCTTGAGCCCTGAGTCACAGAGACTGAGCTGACAGAAAATGTCATCTGTGTAAAGCACATGCTGTTCCTGCTTCTCCTTCTACTGCTGGGCATTTTCACTTGTGAAGTCCTGAGCAGGTGAGGGGAATGGTGTTTTTTGGAAAAGGTGACCTACACTCAAGGTAGCTTAAGCACGTTTGAAAATGTGCTTTTACAGGCTTAGTTTTGCCAGTGCTCATCTTCTGAACAACAAATGTTCAGTATAAACCACAACATGTTGGTTCAAGGGCTTGGTTATCCACCTCATGCAGAAATTTAGTTCTTAGTCCCAACTGAAATGCTTGACAACTTATCAAAAATGGGATCCACTAAAGAAAAAAAAAAAGCCATTGATTGATAGAAGTAAAGTAGAACTATAAATAGAATGTACACGTTCAGACTAGAATCTGAACTGTACATCTATTTATTTCTATTTATGGTGAAAGATGTGGGGTTTATCATTTTTATTGCTATAAAACCCCATATCATAAAGCAACATATCATCAACTTATCAAATTTATTGGGATACAAAACATCCTTCATGTAGCAAAGCTACAGGGAGCCCTTTCAGAGGTTGGGACTGACAGTGCTTTAGCTGCTATCGTAAATATTTTGACAGTTGAGTCATGGGGAAATTTCTTGTTTACAGGGAATTTTAGGAACTTGAGCTGAAGGTCTTCACCATCTATTTAGCACACCTTGGGGCACGTTAGTGGTCACGTAGTGGAACTCAGCACGTTTCAGGCTCAGGTTTAATCGCTGTACTTTGCTTGCAGCTGGAAGGCAAAGCTTATTTTTTTTTTATTTTGTGAAAATTTAAGCCAAAAACTGAAAAAAAAACCATAACTGAGCATAATCAGTGCCAAGTAGGTGTGATGCCAGCTAATCTATTTAATTACACTCAAGCAATTCAGTAATCACTGCTTAATTAAATAATGATTTTGCAGGGAAAATTGTAGGATCACTTGATTGATCCTGTATGCAGCTTACATGCATTATTAAAGGTTTTTCTGCTCTTCCTGGTTTTAATGTGCCAAGAAGATCCCCAAACTCCTTTTTGAAGAAATTCCATTTTTCTTCTTATTAAATGTGTTCCTTCCTGGTTATTATATTCCATATAATAATTATAATAGGAACTGGCTTATTTTACCAATGGACTACATTGCAATTATCTTGAAATTTTCCTTTGGAATTGTTATTCCATGAATAATTATTTCAAAAGCATAATTTTTATACATGCTAAAATAAGAGGTTAGAGGTTGCTTGAAACTCACAATTTTCTAGGTACTTTTGGGAAGGGAAACAAATGATTAAATTTAAAAGTTGTTTTTCTTCACTGTGTGTGTCAAATGAAGTACTGTTGGAACAAACCCTTGGCAGTAGAAAATACGAGATTTAAAAGTGCACGTTTGTTGTTTTCATTTAGTCAGATGTTTAAAAAGAAAGAAAAAAGGAGGTAAAGAAGAAAAAAAGCACAGTGCCTGGAATATTTTCACATGGCAAACTGCAGTATAGCTTGAGCAGCAATTTCTAACCTCAGAGCATGCAGAGAAGGAATGAAATACTCACGGTGCTTGCAGGAGCTCCTCTCCCGTGCCGGTCCCAGCTCTGCTCCAGCTGCAGCCCAGCAGGCCTTTCCCTATTTATCAGTTTGTGTGCACAGCCCGGGCTCCAGACACTCGGCAGAGCCACGCTGCGGCTCCGAGACACCAACTTCCCACACAGCTCCTCTGGGGTCGGAGCAAGGGCAGCTGTGAGCCCACATAAATCACAGCAGAACTGGGTCATCAGGGACAGAGGCCATGGGGACCCTCACGTCACTGCTTCCCAGAGTCCTCCTGCCCAGCACAAAGATCCTGCTTTCTTGCTAGAATTCAAAATTCTCCCATTTTGGTTGTTTCACGTTGACATGTCGGGGTGGTGATGGAAAATGTTCAATTCCCAAGTGGGGAAAATATTGCAGTAGGGTTATTTGGAGATTTTTGCATGACATAATAATTTAATTTGGAAAGGCTGGATCAGGCCAGGACCTCCAAACACCAAACACTTACCTTGTCCTCCATGTCCTGATTCAGACACCCCTGTGGCACACACACACCAGGCTCACACTCAGTTCATTGGCAACCTCAGTGAACTTAACTTCACATTGCCATTAACTCAGCAAAATTTTCTTCTTAACCCCCTGAGTATTTCCATTATTAGTAACTTCTAATAAATTAATCTTGCAAAAGGATGTTTTCATTGTTTCCTAGGTAGATGTGGCCTTTTTCTTGTTAGGTATCATGCTGTTCCAGTGCTCCCAGCAGGTTGCAAATCTCCTCACTCCAGGAGGAGCTCACCTGCCTTCTGTGTACGATCAGTTCTCCATTCACCTCAGGAAAAACTGCTTCTGTTGGATACTGCATGGAATTAGGTGGGAAAAAGAAAATGTAATTTCCTGTTGGGTAACTTACAGCAAAGTCACTTAAAATCCTCTTTTGGGACAGTAGGTTTTCATGGATAAATGGCCATCACCCTTCAAGAGAGGGACATATTTCTATTCCTTGGGGTCCAGAAAAGAGCTGCCCTAAGGCTGCTTATTTCCATGTGCCATTTATGACTCTGTCTGTGGAGTGGAATGGTTGAGTCTTTCAAGAACAAACAGTATTCACTAATAAATATTATTTGAGCATATTATGGAGTTTTCTAAGTTTTCAGATGTCCTGCATTGATCATGTGTGGTGATGGGGGACTGCAACACAGTGATTACACAGCAGAAATGAAGATAATTATGTTCTAAGCTTAATTATGCTCAGCACTTGTCTTTCTGGTAAAAGCAGCCTCATACAGAAACTTGACAAGTTGTCAAGAAAACTGCAATAGTAAAACTGAAGGTTTTACAATTGATATAACAAATATTTTTTTCACAGAAGTATCTCTTTCACAATATCCCATTGACTTTTTCATCCAGCCTTTCTCATGAAAGTTGAAAAAACAAGCAGAGGTTTGTGAAATATTGTGGTTAGCTTTTAAATGCTACTGACTTTTATTTTTAGCATTTTTTTTCTGATAGAAGTCACCTTACTGATAAGATGTTCAAATTAGCTCTAGGATGTGGGTATTTAGAGCCTGTTGACTCCAGGGGACTTAAGCCTGAAGCTCAGGTTTTTAAAAGGCATCAAATCCCTTCAACTCAGTTTATAAAGCCTGCTGGATTCAGGGTAAATTCAGTTTCTAAAATCAGTATTTAAATAAGTTTATAAAATAACCATATAAAAGTTGTAGTAGAAATTAATTGCAGTAATTAAGTATTAGCCCAATGTTAATTAACTCCCACACTGTAGTAATGAAACTATTTTGCATAATCATGAAGTGATTCAGACCAGGTGGCTGGCTAAATACATATATTTATGTAAATAGAGATATTTACATTATTTTAATAAATCACTGCTCCTATTCAAAGTTTAGCATGACAAAAATGGGAAACTTGAGGGCACATTTGAATCACCTAAAATACTGCTGCAAAGAGGAAAATAAACTCTTTTCCATGCTTGTAAATAATCAAAACCCAGAAAGGTTATTTAGGAGTAAGTGAGATTTAAATTACAAACTAGAGAAAGCAATTACTGTGGTAAAAATAGCACTGTAGTGAGTTCCTTGTACTATCTTCTCCACTGGCTGTTTTGAAGATCAGTTTGGGCAACCAGATTGAACTCAGAAATTGTTTTCTTTGAGTTGCTCTGGTTTGTAAAGAGGACTTCTTGTAAAGGACTTTGGAAAGCTGCTTCCAGCTCTGTTTTCTGTTATTTTCCTATACATACATCAATTCTGTAAAGCACTGCTGAAGTCTCTGCTCAGTAACGTGCCCAGAGCCGCTTCAGTGGCAAAGGAAATAATACCAGACTCCAAGCTTGCTTTACTAGCAGCAAGTAAACAAAGTGTCACTCACAGATATGGTCTGAATATAGGAGCTGAAGGAGTTCATGCCATGAGCCAACATCCAGAAGTGGCACTGAAGTGAGGAATGAGGGACACACACGTTTTCCACAGATAAGAAGCAGATGTGGTGATAGCAGCCTGACCTGGACACTGCTGCAGCACTTGTGCAGCTTCACTGCCACCACTGCAAACTGAGAGCTCTGGGCAGTCAAATCCCCCTGGAGATTGGGCAGCTGGCCCCAAGGCTCTGATGGGTGAGGGAGCTGGAGACGAAGGAAGAGCTTCCCTGGATCCATACCTGCTGAGACAATCCATTTTCAAGGTCAGCACAATTCTTTGTTCATCTGGACTGGAGTTTCCAAATGGTAACCAAATAGTTAAAGGAAATTGCATCTACTCCAGCTGGATCGTCTCTACATAAATGACCCGTTTGGCTTGATCTGGTATTGGATTGTTTACGTAACTTCAGTAATTAACCACTATCAGCCTCATTAATGAAACATAAACCACCTCTTCTGCTCATTTATAAAGCATTTGTCAAACAAAACTCAAACGAAGGGCAGAATCTCAGCAAAGTAACAGTCCCCCAAGAGCTACTGAGCCCTGACTGCAAGGCACAGCAGTCATTTTGTTGTTGTTTTTCAGTAGGACTGAAGCAGAAGTGATGGCATTGCCTATTGCTCTTGGCTAACTTCTCCTCAAGCCATCTGAGATCTGTCACATGAGGGCAAGCATGCCTGGACAACTATTTTGGCCACTTCAGTACAAAATACTGATGTTCCAGCTCATTACTGTAAATCATTAAATGATGAAAGCAAGAGTCAAATACTAAATGACTAAAGCCCTCAGAAAACTAATTGCTAATTACAGTAATTGTTGTTCTATGTGAGTTAAAGGTTACATTAAAACAATTATTATTTCATTACAGGATTAAATCTTTCCTGTTGGAAAATTGTTCCGAGCGATATTACAGAAAGCGAAGTATTAACAATACAGATCACATATCAAAATGATCTAACCTAATCTCTACCTATTTTTGTGTCAGAGAAATAAAATGGTTCAGAGGCATAAAATACACTGGCATACACATCCATGCCAAAATTTTTGTGATCTGAGGCCTTGCCTTCCCTTTCCAATTTGTTGAGAAATTAATAAAAAAAAAAAGTTTTCTGTGCCCCCTCTCTTCTATTATTTATAGATCTTCCAAAGGTTCAGGAATGCTGACACTGTTGGGATTGTTCTTCGTGGGTGTGGATGAACCTCTCAATCCTGAGTGAGAAGCAGCACAAAGCCCTGTGAGTACTGATTTTGCCTGATGGTGTTACTTTGCACAGTGAACAGCTCCCATGTGGCACTGCAGAGAAACGTTCTTTAGTGTGAGATAATAGAAATACTCTTTGTTTTGCATCAAATGTATCAGACAAATACTCATTAGCAAACTGGACGAGAAATAACTCAGAAGATGCAATTTTTTGTTAAATTCTTAAATGCTTTTGTGGTATTAAATGATGAAATAGCAGCAGAGAGGAAGAACAGTTTCAATCTTTTTAAGACTCATTTTTTTCTTAATCATGAAGTTGTTGGATAGTTTCACCTTGAATTTTCTTACAGGTTTGTAAGGCCAATCTTGAAGAAATAAACTTTATGCGAAGTTTCAGTCCAAGAGCCAGACTGCCTTAAACTCACCTGAAAGTCTCAGGACGGCCCACTAAATGATACCGTTTCTCCTGTTTATTCTCTTAAACTTAATCTGCAGTGCCTGAAGGCAGAGTAGGTACAATAAACCCATCCATTCAACCTTCACGAAGTTCCTGGGTACCCTAACACCTCCCCCTTTCAGTTCCCTCTGCCAAAACTGTTTCCCCTTGGCTGGAAGACCAGATTTGTTAATCAAATACTCCAGCGAGGCACGAAGTGGAAGAAAGCAAAACTATCAATTAAGTTTGATTATAATCCCCAGAGTTGGTAGTTCATAGAGAATTCTCATAACTACAGGCACTGCAGTACTTTATATGTACAGCAAAGGGAAGCCAAGACCTCATTTCCATAAAGCAGATCTTGACACTCTATGTTAAGCATTACAAAATAATTATTCTGGAATGCCTTGCTCAGCATTTTATCAGCAGTGGTCTTGCTGCTGAGACTGAACTAACTGGATGTATCCATTTATCAATGATAATGTTTTTCCTTTTTTCCAGCCTGGATTCCATCTTGAGGACATTTGTTTTAACAGTAGAAAGAATATTAGACTCATAAGTGTGAGTGCTGTGGTGCAGTGGGTGACTCCTCAAGATTTATCAAAGCAAGATAATTAGTATGAACAATAAGACTGAGTTCCTTGGTAATAATTCTTGTCACAGGACAACTCTGCATTATGCCACGTTAATCTACCTTGAAGTATGGGCTGGGAAGTGCAACAGCAGGATTTCTTTGGGCTCCTGGCCCGTGAGTCTCTGTGCTACACTTTTGTTGAAGGCAAAACCAGTGAAATTGTGACAGTAGCTGAGAGCTGTCTTAACACTACCACTTAATTTTAAAAGCAAGCAGTCAGAAAGTGTTGGGGTGTGTGGTGTGAGAGGGGGCTGGTTTGCTTTTTAAATGGCTGTAGCTGCTGAAATAGTTGGGTTTTGAAGGAAGGGCTTCTAATGGAAATGAGAATTGTCACATTCCATTTTTAAAAGCTTGTGCCCAGCTGCATCACCATGGGAGACTTGTGCTTTCAGACACTTAGCCACAATGTTTTTACCTGTGCTGACTGCACTTAAAATTAATATAATTTTACTGAAAATCCAAGAAGTATTCTAAAGATTTGCCCTTTATTCTGTTCTCTAATTCCAATATCTAGATGTCACTCCATCTGTCACAGACATTGCCATTTGGTACTGATCTGTTCATAGAATCCCAGAATGGTTTGGATGTGAAGGGATCTTAAATCCCATCCTGTTCCACCCCTGCCATGGGCAGGGACCTTCCACTATCCCAGGTTCCTCTAAGCCCCGTCCAGCCTGGCCTTGGACACTTCCAGGGATCCAAGGGCAGCCCCAGCTGCTCTGGGAACCCTGTGCCAGGGCCTCCCCACCTTCACAGGGAAGAATTTTTCCATATATATAACTTGAATTTCCACTCTTTCAGCCTGAAGCCATTTCCCCTTGTCCTGTCCCTCCAGTCCCTGATGAGGGGTCCCTCTCCAGCTTCTCTGTAGCCCCTTCAGACCCTGGAAATGGCTGTGGGGTCTCCACACAACTTCGTCTTCTGAACAGTCTCTGCTCTCTCAGCCTGTATCCATAGGGGAGGGGCTCCCGTGCCCTGAGCAATTTTGTCCACTTTATGTCCAGCTAGATTTATTTTCTTTGTGATTTTCCTACTGTTAGCAAGAGCCTTCTCAGCTGTACTCAGATCTGTTATGTATTTATCCCACCACAGAAATACTATTTCTGATTTTCCAAAGATGGCCTGGGAGCAGTTTGGGCTCTACAGCAGCATTGTTGTTCTGAGTGTCCCAGTACTCTGCTATCCTGCCTTCACTTCTCCTGCTACAACAACCCCATGTTCTGTTTGACAAAATACAGCCATGTGGTTAAGAGTTATTAAAAGCATTAAAACATTAACCTCTCATAACCCCATTTTTCACTTTGTACACACACATAAGTGTTTAATCGAATTGAAGTTAAACACTAAAAAGTTTGAGAGGCCAAATTTATACATTCTATTTAGTTTACACAGAATTGCTGTGATAAGCCAAAGGAATTACAAAGCACCCCTACTCAGAAATGCTCATCTGTTGATTTGTTTAAGCTCTGTTGCTACACACTCAAAGTTTTGGTGACAAGCATTCCCAGCATTTAAAGCAAGGAGCTTTGTCCTACTGGGATCCTCTCTGTGTCCTGGCGCCACAGGAACTCACTCTGCTGTCCCTTGGAGCTGGACAAATGATTCCATGTCCAGATCTGCTGGAGAGGGGCTGAGCCCCAGCCCTGAGTGGGAGCACGGGCTCAGGGCAGTGTGAGAGTGGTGTCATAGATCCTCATCTCTCTCATCGTGGAGTTTTATTCCTAGAAGCCAGAATGCCACAGAGGAAATAAACGGATCCTGAAATGACAGTCCGGTACAGCAGTGCTGCCCTCACCTACCCCTGCTCATCCCTAGGGCCAGGATGGCACCTCTGACACCAGGGGGAGGAGTGTTAAATCAGAACTATGAACACAAGAGCTGAACAGGCAGCTCAGACACATCCTGGTGCAGCTCCTGCAGCGATGAAATGATCCTTCACTCTGCCCAGACTGTGGGTTCCTGCAGCTCATTTCCTACGGATGAACTGGAATTCCCAGGGCCACATCTCTCAATGGCTCACTGAGTGCCTGAATTAAGTGGAACCTCAGGGACTGCAAGTTTGGTTTCACAGAAATCCCTGTGCTGGAGAAAGTGAAAAAGGAAAAGATGGCTCTGGCCCACAGAGCTCGTTCCATGGAGCTGTGTCAGGCCTGCTCTGTGAGCCTGCCCAGGCTCTGTGCAAATGGGAGCTCTGGGAGAGGCTTTGGAGGCAGGCACGGAGCTGGGAATGGGAGCAGAGGGAGGCAGCAGCAGGTGCTGAACTGCACACGAGGGGCCATGTGAGGATGGGAGAGTGGGACAGGGAAACCAGTGCTGGCTAGGGCTTAGGGATGATGTGTCCATTTTGGGACAGGACAATTTTTACCCAACTTGTTCCATACCCAGAATGGTCCACACAGCAATATTTGTCAGTTTTCCAAGTGTTCATGACTTGCCTATTAGGAAAAAGGAATTCTGACAAACTGTCCTAACTTTCTAGTAGTCTCTAATAAGATGAAAAATAGGAAAGGACCAGAAGGTGAAATATGTATGTAATGAAATATGTATGTATGAAATATGCTGTAACATGGTCTGGGCTTTTATTTCCAAACTAGCAGAAGGATTACATTTCCCAAATTTGCAGAATAGTTCTCATACTTTACTAATTAATCTGATTCTGATGAAATATTCCAACTGCAGCTGCTTACCCTGTTTTCTTTTGCTTTGTGTGCATATTTTGAGATTGTTGCTTTTATAAAATTATCTCATTCAGCACTTCTGCACCAGCCTTGATTATCTCTGGGATCATAAAGAACCTTCATCAGATAGAGAATCCTGGAGTTTTCTCATGTGTCTGTGTGACTAGGGATTTAAATTAGGAATAATATTCAAATCAAAGGTAGTCCTGCTGAAATATTGTTGAAAAACATTGTTAACGAAGCTGGTGCTATTGGTACAAAGCCTCAAGGACACCCGGATCACCAACGGTAGCTTCAGTTAGCAAATAAGAATCAAAGCAGCGAGTCAGCATTGCACAGCTTGTTATTTTGAGTGGCGGATGTTTACTGTTGGAAGGGACAAACAGCAGGATCAGATAAGATGGGAGCCCCGCAGATCCCAGCCGGGATTGATCGCGCTGGGAGGGAGCAGCCGCAGAGATAAGCGGGACCCGGGGTCAGGGCCGCCGGCCCTCCGCAAACAGCCTCTCGGAGCCGGCCTTGTCCCGGGCTCCCCCGGCCGCGCTGGGCCCGGGGCTCTCGGGGCTCTCGGGGCACGGGGGGCTCGGACACACGGGACCGCGGCGTGTCGGCTCGTGGGACGGGGACACATCCACACCTGGGGCAGGCGGCTTCGGGGCGCCGTGTGCCGGGGGAGACCGGCTTTGGAGCGCCCCAAAACGCCCCCAAACCACCCCAAAAATCAGCCAAAGCTCCAGAGCTCCGCGCATCCCCCGGGACCGGCGGAGGCAGCCCCGACCCGCCCCCGGCACTTGGCCCCGCCCCTGGCACTTGGCCCCGCCCCTGGCACTTGGCCCCGCCCCCCGCTCTGGCCCCGCCCCTGGCACTTGGCCCCGCCCCCCGCTCTGGCCCCGCCCCCCGGCCCGGCCGTGGCGCTCTGGCGCCGCCAGGCGAGCCCCTGGCGGATGGCGGGCTCGCCGGGCCGCGCCTGCGCACTGGCGGCGCCGTGGCCGCGGGCGGAAGCGGCGTCCCGGCCCCGCGGGTTCCCGTCCGCCCGCGCCCGGCGGCGGGGCCGGAGCGGCGCCGAGAGCGGCGGAGGGGGGAGAGCGGCGGCGGCGGGGCCGCGCGGGACATGGGCCCGCCGCGGGGGTGAGCAGCGCCGCCCGCCATGAGCTGCACCATCGATAAGATCCTGACGGACGCGCGGACGCTGCTGGAGCGGCTGAAGGATCACGACACGGCGGCCGAGTCGCTCATCGACCAGTCGGCCGTGCTGCACCGGCGCGTGGCCGCCATGCGGGAAGCGGGCGCGGGCTGCGCCGAGCAGGTGAGCGCGGCCGGGGCGGCCCCCGCGCCCGGGCCGGACCGGCCCCCGCGTCTCGGTAAGCCCGAGGCGGCCGGACCGACCCCCGCGTCTCCTCGGCAGGGCCCGGGCCCCGCGGCGGAGCGAGCCGATCCGTCCCGGCTGCGGCCGCACGTGCTGCTGGCGCAGGAGAACACGCAGATCCGCGACCTGCAGCAGGAGAACCGGGGTGAGCGGGGCCGGGGGCGGATCCTGGCGGCCCGAGTGCTGCGGGGCCACGGGGGATGCTGGGCGGTGTGCGGGGCTGTCCCGGCGGGATGCGCGGCCGCTGGTCCCGGCGAGAGGGTCTTGTCGAGGAGAGCAGGCGCTGATGCCCCGGTGGGTCGCGGGTCAGGGAGTCTCCTCGGCCGAGGGGATCCGCGCAGCCCCACCGTTCCCCGCCCCAGGCACTGCGGTGGTCCTCAGCTGGTACCCAGCGAGCGCCTTGGGGCTCCTGCTGTGCTGCCGGTCGTGGCTCTGACGTGCTGTGTTCTGCAGAGCTGTGGGTCTCACTGGAGGAGCACCAGGACGCGCTGGAACTCATCATGAGCAAGTACAGGAAGCAGATGTTGCAGCTGCTGGAAGGGAGAAAACGTGAAGAGGCAGAGCCAGTCTTGAAAGTCCATCAGGCTAATTCTGGGGTAAGGTGGGATGGGGACAGGAGAGTGCTCAAGACCCCTGTCCCCTGCTCGCTGTCATGCAGTCTTTGTTCCCATTCCCGCAATGTCTGTGCCCCAAAATACATTTTCTCCAAATCTTGACTCTTTGCTGGTATTTTACCCTCTGCTCCTTTCAGAGCACACAGGCTGTAACCGCTGTGCCAGAGGACACTGAGAGGCAAAACCCCTTCACAGCCCAGGTGGAGGCTTTTTCTTTCAACTGGGTGGTGAATTCCCTGGCTTAAGCTTAATGTGCCTGATCCTCTGTAGTAAAATCAAAGATGTCCAAGTTGTTATAATTCTTATTCAGTAGCTGTAACGAAGGGGGAAAACTCCTAAACTCTGTGAGCTGTATATGTTTAGTTCTTAAGAGATTTCACTCCCTAGTGTTTTTAAATCCAGATACTCTGTGTAGTAGCCTAAAGTGTCCTTTCTTGTACATTGGACTCAGTGACTTCAATACTCTGAGATGTGGCTGCTGATAATGATAACTGCTGCCTATTACCTATTTAGGTATCTAGTAACAATAGAATAACGTTAAATTTCCATTTAAGACTTAGGAATTGTGTTAGGCATTTTTTAAAATGCATTATATCTGATTAGAGAACAGCAGGTTGGTTCAACCCAGTGACATCTCATATCTTGTAGTTTTTTAATTGGAACTGGAGCCAGCCTAACACTTCTCATGTCTTTCTGTGCACTGATATGTGGCAATTCACTGGTTCTCTTTTCTAAGTTGCTTAACTCATGTGAAGGTGTAGCTGTGTTTGGTTTCCAGTGCCTCCCTGAGTGCATGAATTGCTGTTTATCAAGGTTTTACATTTGAACAAAACTTGACAATGCAAAGCTGAAAGGGCTCTGAAGGAATCCTTTAAGGGATATCCCTTGATTGTCTCAATGTCTAGACAAAGTCTTCTGTACTTCAGGTGAAGTCCATGAGTTTTTTCCTCCCCACCATTTGGAGAACGTTAACAAACTGCTAATTTCTTTAAAAGAACTATGTTCTCAGTATAACCATCTTACTGTTTAGAAAAAATAATAATCTTTCTTCCCAGAAGTCTGTTGTGTTCTCCAGCTGCCTTCTACATGCCCTAATTTGTTTACATTCTTTCTGAATAATGGACTTCAAAACTGAATTCTCTGCTCTGTGATAAATTTGTCTTCCAGAGGCAGTAGAAAAACTTTGGGCACTTAAAGAAACTCCACCCTGTCACCTGTCACATTATGTGATGTATTGCTCTTTAAGCAGGAACTGTTTCTTCATACTGGAATTTGTCAGTGTTTGTTCCATGTGCATTTCTGACCTTCAGCAAAATGCATTTTCCAAAGAATTATTGTTGTATCTAGACAAATCCTGTAAAATCTGCCTCAGGAGGCTCTGATCTTATTTGCTCTACTTTTGTTGCATGATGTCTTTCTGAGGTAAAGTTGTTTATTCCACACTTGAAATCATCTTTGCATTTATTTTTGGTGTCTTAATAAATTCAGTCAGGCTCTTCAAATAAAGCTAAATAAAATTTGCTGCCTACTAATCATGAACCTGAATGCTGTCTCAGACCTTGGCACACTTGAAATTATTTCCCTTTAAGTCAGGGTGCCTTATCTTGGTGGCTGCTGTGTCTCTCTGCACTGTTTTCACTGATAAAGGACTGCTGATAGAGGACAATAAGGTACAAGTTCTTATCCTTGAGTATACAAGGCAGAAAGGCTTTCAAGTGCTTGGGAGGAAATGATTAAAATTCAAAACAGAAAGAGAATCCAAAATCAGGAAAATGGAAGTAAGTGATTTAGAAGGGATAAATTATGACTGTTGCTTTTGCCTGAACTTACTGAATGTATTAATTTTATGTCTTTTAGGAAATTGAAAGTCAAATAGACAGAATATGTGAGATGGGAGAGGTGATGAGAAAAGCTGTTCAAGTGGATGATGAGCAGTTCTTTAAAGTTCAGGAGAAACTGGCTCAGTTGGAGGTAAGAACAGAGCCAGTTACTGAAGATAAATCAAGCTTTGGGGGTCTCCAGTCTTTCTCTGTATTTTCTATGTTTCTGTCAAGGACTTAATAAAAACTTAGGGATGGGATCAGGAAATGCAGAACATGATTGTTTATTTTTAAGTTCTTAATGTTCGTATTATTTTTGTATCTATATATAAACAAATGAAGCCAGAAGATAAACTTTAAATTATTGGTTCCAGTGTGCCAGCACTGTACTAATGCTGGCATTACAAAGTGTAATGTACAAACTTTATGTATCTGTGAAGGGGTGGGACTGTTTAAAGATCAGCATCTTTTAACTGTGAGTTGGCACCTTTCTGTGATAGTCCTTTAGTTGTGAATTAGCTCATTTCTATTTCAGCAAAAATGTTGATTTTGCAGCTTGAAAACAAAGAGCTGCGTGAGCTGCTGTTGATCAGCAAGGAGTCCTTCGAGGTGGGGAGAGAAGATCTGCCAGACTGTGAAGCCTAGGCCACACAAACCTCATCTCCAAGCCTTCAGGGACTGTTATGAAACTACCTGACAAGGATTTGTTGTTTCAGGTGTTTCCTTGTATATTTGTTTTGTCTTTAAAGTTGTGGGCTGTTTTCTCTGCATTTTTCTGAAGTGTTGATGGCAAAAGCTTGCACCCTGCTCTGTCTTAGTACCTGCAGCTCTCAGATGCTTAACTCTGAAGTTTTTGATGTATCCTCCCTTGTGATGGCTCATTTCCTCTCCCTTTGTTATTTTTTATGAGCTTTAGTTAGTAATTCCAGCTGTGCAGATGGCTCTTAAATCCACCTTGTCTGTAGCTAGAGAACATAATGCAGGTTGTGATTATTGTGCTTGGTAGGAGGAGCAGGAGATGACTGAGAAACCAGTGTGGGAGGCAGGGATGTGTTTGCTCTAGCTGCACGGGGCAGCTGGGCTCTGCAGAGTGAGTGACCCGCAGTGTCTGGCTGGCCTGACTTTGTCACCTGGCCACTGCTGAGAGCAGCAGATGCCAGCAGAGCACTTGAAGGAGTCACTCCTATTCAGAACAAACTTTACCTTGTTTTAGGGGTGAAGATTGGGGTTAAGGACCCTTTCTAACGCACACTTTTTTGAAGGATTCCTCTTTTTTGATTGATAGACCTGTCCCAGCCTTCCCAGTGCTCCCAGTTAGCAGCCAGCCCTGCTCTGTCGGTGTGCTCAGAGCCTGCCAGGGCACAGCACCTGCAGATCAAAGCTCTTTGGCCTCCCACAAATTTAGGTTCGGGCAGAGGGAGCTTAGGTCTGCCTCAAAACCAAACCAAACCTCCCACATACACAGAATTTTAATGTCACATAGCAGGTGACTCTGGTGTTCCATAGTTACTGCAGGTCCTGTATTGAGTGGAATTAGAGGTGCAGTGTTGTAGGAGTTTCTCAGTACTGTGGGATTTTTAAAGACACTTTTATATAAAAGATTTCTGTCCTACCCGCGATCAAAGAATAATCTTCCAAGAATGGTAAACATCTCATTTCCACTATTTGCTTAAATTTTTAATGCCACTTTTTCCCAAGTGAGACTTTTGATAGATGCAGAACGTGACTCGTTCCTGTGCTTACTGAGAGACAGTAAACGCTGGAGACATTGTGAATATTTGGAATACCCAGCAAGACTGGTAGATATAAGGGATTTCTGTACAGGAGTGCTCTTGTATACAATCCTTTTCTATTAGAAATTGTTCAGGAGGGAATAAAAAACCCAATGGGAAAAACTTTCTCAAGTGTTTTGTGTGTCCTGGGGGAATTCCATGTATTCTGCATATTAACAAGCCTTTTGCACCTGAGTGAAATACTGCAATGACCAAAAGGTTGAATTTTCTCTTTTCTAAATGAATATCATCCATAATTATTACGATGCATTTTCATTTTCCCCTCTCTCAATGTAGAGTAACATCCCTCCAACTTGCTCCTTGCTGTGCAGCCAGAAAAAAACAAACTAAATAGCAGTTGCTTTGATTGAGTGTATTAAGTAGCAGACAAGAATAGGCAAGGGAAGTTGAGATTTTCACAGAATATCCCGAATTGGAAGGGACCCACAAGGGTGGAGTCCAACTCCTGCTTGCCAGACACCCCAAATCCCATCCTGCGCATCCCTGGCAGTGCTGTCGGAACTCTCCTGGAGCTCTGGCAGCCTTGGGCTGTGCCCATTCTGTGGGGAGCCTGGGCAGTGCCAGCACCTCTGGGGGAGGAACCTTTCCTGATACCCAGCGTGACCCTCCCCTGACACAGCTCCATGTTCCATTTGCTCCTGTCCCATTCAGGATCTCTAACTGGAATATGTGACTGTAAATGGCTGGTTGTACACAGTTCCTGAGGGCTGCTGGGCATTTTCAGAACTTGCTCCACTTGTGTTGGAAACTGTACTGGAGCTTCATGACTGGAAATGCTCTGCCTTGTCCGCAGTTTCAGCGAGTGCAAGTCTCGTGTCCCTCCCTTGAGCTCTGCCTGCCCAGCACGGCGGTGTCCCCCCACAGGGGTTTCCTGAGGGCTCGGCCCGAGCTCTCCTTCCCTCACTCGGGGTTCTGCGTGCTCTTCAGCCGGGGCTCTGTCTCCTTCAGCCGGGGTTTCTCTCTTCCCTCAGCCGGGGCTCTCCCTCTCGATCTCTCCCCTCAGCCCTGATTTTTTCACACTCTCTCTCTCCTCAGCCGGGGTTTTCTCTCTAGCTGTGTCTATCTCTGCGTCTGTCTCGCTCCCTCTGCTCAGCCGGGGTTTCATCTCCATATTTTTCCCCTTTACCTTCCCTGAGGTTCTCCCTCTCCCTCCATCCGGGTTTTGTGTCTCCCCTCAGCCGGGGCTCTCTTTCTCCTCAGGGGGTTCCTGTCCGTCCCTGAGGTTCTCCCTATCCCCTCAGCCGAGGCTCAGTGCCATCAGCCGCGGTTCTCTTTCCCCTCAGAGGTTCCTCTCCCTTCCCTGAGGTTCTCCCTCTCCCCTCAGCCGGGGTTTTGTGTCTCCCCTCAGCTGGGGCTCAGTGCCATCAGCCGGGGCTCTCTTTCCCCTCAGGGGGTTCCTGTCTGTCCCTGAGGTTCTCCCTCTCCCCTCAGCTGGGGCTCATTGCCATCAGCCGCGGTTCTCTTTCCCCTCAGGAGTTCCTCTCTCTTCTCTGAGGTTCTCCCTCTCCCCTCACCCGAGGTTCAGTGCCATCAGCCGCGGTTCTCTTTCCCCTCAGGGGTTCCTCTCCCTTCCCTGAGGTTCTCCCTCTCCCCTCAGCCGAGGCTCATTGCCATCAGCCGGGGCTCTCTTTCCCCTCAGGGGTTACTCTCCTCTTTCCCGGTCCCGTCTCCCCTCAGCCGCTTCTCCCTCCCCCGGCCGCCAGGGGGCGTTGCCGCCCTCACTGGCCCCCCCCCCCCCCCATCTCCTCTGGCGCGTGCCCGCGAGCGCCACCCGCCGGGCTCCGGGCGCGCACGCGCGGCCCCGCCCCTTGCCTCCCCCCGGCCGCGGGCGGCTCTCGCGAGAGCGCCGTGATTTCTCTCCTACGTGCCGTGCCGTGCTGCTCATGGCGGCGCTGGAGCGGGGGCGCTGAGCTGTTGGGGTGAGTGCGGGCCGGGCGCCGCCGCCACCCCCGCCCGCCCCGGCGGGCTCCGGGCGCCGCGGCACCTACGCCCGCGGATCTCTGCCCGAACCGGGGCTGCGCGCCGGGAGCCCCGCCGGGGTTGCGCGTGGGGTGGGGGGGGTGGTTGGGGGGTGCGGCCTACCAGGCCGGCGGTGCGGGGATGGAGCGGCGGCCGCGGGGCGCGGGGTGCGCGCTGCGCTCCGCGGGGCTCCGGGGGCGGCGGCGGCGCCGAGGCCGCGCTGGGACCGGCCGTGCCGGGAGCCGGCGGGGCTCAGGGCCGCGCCGGGAGGGGGCGGCGCCGCGGGGGCTCCGGGCCGGGCGAGCGGCGGGGCCGTGCGGGCGGAGGGGCGGCGGCGGCTCCCGGCGTGCCGCGCGCGGCCCCGCCCGGCGCAGCGCGGCCGCGGCCCTTTGTGTGCGGTGAGCGGCCGCCATCGCCCCCCTTTGTGTGCGGGGCGGGCGCTGCCCCCGGCCCGGCCTGCCCGAACGGCCCTGCCGCTGTCACCGGCCGGAGCCGCCCGCCCCCGCGCACGGCGGCCCCGCTGGCGGCGGCCCCGGCGCCGCCCCTCGGCGCGGCCGCCCCTCGCTCCGCCGCCTCCATCTTGGTGCAGCGCAGCGAGCGGGGCCGCGGCGGGGACCGGGCCTAGGCGGCTCCGTCGGTCCCGGGTCGGTTCTCTGCTGTCCGCAGCGATACCCAGCGCCGGGCTCGTCTCCGCGCCGCAGAACCCCTAAAAAATCCGGATATTTCTTTCAGCGACTTTTTTGGGTTTTTTCTCCATACATTCTTTACAGATGTCCTTGGTAGTTCTGTAAATTTTTCCCCCATATATTTATTTTTTGCTGACATGCAAAGGACTTAACTCCTGTGGTGGTGGCTCGTGTCATGGCTGTCACGTACTGGCTGGGGTGCCTAAGGGCTCTGTGCTGCTTTCCAATATCGATCTGAAAAGAGATGGAGGAGCCTGCTCTCCACGGATCTGTGTTGTATGTGCACACTGAGAAGACGAAGTCTTATCTTTATCAAATTGTGCCTTGGTCACGTCAGAGAGGGCTGTTTCTGGAAGCACGTGCTCTGATCCACAGAATGCATGTCCTTGCAGTTGCCTCTTTTTGTGAAGGAAATGGGAAGCAGAACAATGCTGTCATCGGGCAGGTTCCATGTGGGGCTCTGTGGGTGATTCCTGGCTGTGAGCAGCTTCATGTGACCTGCTGTCATTTAGCAGGATCTGCACAGGAGAGGCCTCAAGAGCAGAGCTCAGCTCTTCCCTGTCTTTGCATTAAAGCTTTCAGCTGTAAATACACAAATGCAGTGAGACTTGGGGGCTGGGCAGCTGCTCAGGGTGTTTACCATTTGGAGGAGTATTTATAGTAGCTGAATTAAAAAGTAAGGAATTTGAGGCAGATGAGCACAGTGAGATTTCTTTTTGCTTGAGTTATGCTCGCTTGATGAGGTTTTTTTTAAAGAACTTAAGTGTAGTAAAGCCATCTTGTTATCAAATCAGACTGGGTTTTAATTGAAAGGTTTATGCTTTGCTCCACAACTGATAAAATTAGCTTCAGTCATATTTGATCACGTGAGGTGTTTTGATTATTAAATGAAAAAGTGATATATTTTATGGCCAAAATGATAAATGCAATGTGATAAGAGTTCCATCTCTAGGAGAGCTCTAATAATACCAGTCTAATTAAATGAGAGAGAAGTACGTGAGAAGATTCCAAGTGTGTCTGTGCAGTTCCTGGGATGCAGTGTGCTCATTTGAGAGCTGAAATGCTGCCCCAAAATAACACCGTCCTGGAAGATTGTGGTAACTGTTGCCCCAGTGTAATGCTGAGGTGAGAGAAAAGCAGTGATACTGTTTATCTTTGCAATAGCTTTGCATCTTCTAATTTATTTTATAATCCAATCTTCCAGTGCAAAGATTTGAACAACCCTCTCCCAGTTTATTTAATCTGTTTCACGTGAGTTTGATGGTCTGGCAGGAAAACTCATTTCAGCTGGAAATTCTCGGTGGTGGCTGAAGGAGATGCTTCATCTGGGGAAAATCACTGAAATACAAACTTCAGTAAAAACTGGAGATGAGTTTGCACATTTGGGGTTCTTGCAGTAGTTGCCTTCACTCAGTGTTTTCACTGGGGTGAGGGTGAGACTTTGAGGTGTCTTTGCATTCAGGTTTCAGTCACTTAAAATGATACTTTCAAATCACCAGAGGGAATTCAAAGCTCAGTGTAAGTTGTGAAATTCACTTTCCTGCTACACTGGAGAAATAGGCTTTGTCCATATTTTTTTCTCTTTTGGTGTGGGACTTGTGAAATGATTTGGGGAAGAGTTGTGCTTCATACCTTTAGGTGACTGCAGAAATTCCAGTGTATCTGTGAGGTCAGAGCTGTGCTGCTTCTCACCCGCTTTTGTCCACAAAAATACCCTCCTTTTTTTTTTCCCCCTATCTACTGAGTAAGCAACAAACTCAAAACTTGATTTCTTCTCAAGGAAGGATTCTATTTCTGTAAGGTTATGTTTTGTGTAGTAGGTGGCAGTTTGCTGAAACTGTTTTTCTCATGAAAAGCCAAAGTAGCACTGGAAAACTTTAGGAGGTAATTAATTGCTAATTAGTAACTGGTGCAGAAAGGCTTCTCCTGGTGTTAGCTACACAAATCATCCCATGGAATCAACATTTTACAAAAACTGTTTCAGAAGTCCAGAGAATGGCTCTGTGTTATTTTACATGCAGTGTCTGTACACATAGAGAAGTTTGTTGATTTTTATACAATTCTAAATGTGTTACAGGTATCACTAGTCCTTAACCTTTGGAACAGAAGTAATTAGAAAATTTTAATTCCCATGTATATATACATCCCATTGCTTCTCTGAGGATCTGTTTGAACATTTATATAAATTATGCTATAATTTAATAAGCACCCATATAAAGTTATTAATAGGAGGACTAAGGCTTGCTGATGGGTCAAATACTAATGATCAAAATGAAGTTGCCATTTTCATGGTACACACTGAGACCTTCCCTGAGATGCCTAAGTATTTCTGAAGAGTACAAAATTGGAAATAACCATCTCATTGGCTTAGAGTCAGCCAGTATTTTGGAAATAAAACTGGCAGTGGGAATGTCAAATATGTCAATAAAACAGATTTTATTAATGTGGCTTAACCTA